CGGGGCGGGGGAGGGTGTAAGTTGAGGTGTAGAGATCTAGGACTGGTGGGATCATCAGACGTCAGGGAGGTGAGAGGGCAGCGGCTGGGCTCACGAAAACACTCAATACTTGATAGCCATTATCGTTATTGTTTACTTTTGGAATGCTCTAATAGTACAAGATTTGATTGCTCCTCTTAAGCATATTTGATTTCCCTGTAATCTTGGGACAACACTTTGAAGTTCTTCCAGCACCACAGCAAAGCTCAGCTCTTTCCCTGCTACTCCCCTGTTTGGACACAAATGTTTCCTGGTACAAAGTTCTATTTGCACTTCTTCACCTCAGGCTGACACCTGCTTTGCGCTCACCCAGCGAGTCTACATCACCGTCTTCCAGAAGGAGCCTTGGGAAGTACAGCCAGCCCCCTGCGCAGGCCCCCCACCCCTCCCTGTGCGCGGCTGAGCGGTGCTGACGCCATTGGTAGCAGAAGTCTGCCATCTTGTGGACAATGACAATTCCAGCAGCCTGGCCGTAACAGCAAGATGAGTGCGACTTTTCCTACCTCTAAACATGGCTTCAACTAATCAGGCCCTCAAAGTCAGGGGCACAGGTGTGAAATCCTCCGGGTCTTTAAAATGGCTGAGAGGTCAGCCGAGTGGGAGCAGTGGGCTCCAGAGTCTCTTCATCGCCCTGGGGGCAAAACCAAACATCTTAACCTGCACCTGCCCAGCCTCATCTTCCTCCAGCCGACCCAGCCCTGGTGAGCGCCAGGATCCAGGGCCCCCTCCTGTGCCCCTCTCTGGGATTTAGGCCATGGCCCACACCTTCTGCACCCACAGTGTCTGTGAATATTGTCTAGTCTGTAAGCTCTGCAAGGCAAGGACTACATCTCTTCTGTTCTCGGTCACGTTCTCAGGCCTCAGCATAGTGCCTGACACATAGAATGGCCTGATAAATATTTAGTGACTTGATGGAATAAATAGCCCATGAGTGTTACACATGATGCGGGGCTTAGTGATGGGTAGAAACACACACAGGGTGTGCACTGAGCCCTACATATCCTCCCCCGGAGATGTGCGGGCACATCGAGGATATCGAGGGCCATTGTTTGAGCCGGGTATCTTTCATCATCCATCAGCGAGGATGCTCTAGGGCTTTCATGATATGGGCTGAGTTTTGCTGACAGTAGAAGCCCAAGTCCTTCGTGGGGACTGGGTGGGTTTTGCAGAAACCAACCAACCCTTGCTAGGGGTGGGGTGCATGTCCGACTGGAGAGACTTCAGGAGCAACCGATAGGGCCCAAAGCAGAATCCTTTGCAGTCCTATTCCAACCTGCCTTCCCCCCAGCTTCCCCAACACAGAATCGGCAGACCAGAGAGAGGGGGAACCTTTGCTCATCCAGTACGGTGGGCAGAGGAAGGACAGTATCTGGCACAGGGCAGGATTCATGTTCCCTGTCATCCCTGCCCCCGAACATGTCGCCGGTGGGCATCACCAACACCCACACTCGGGACACCCTGCAGGGAGAGGGTCCACTCACCATGATGACCCTGCCGCAGGCTTTGTTCACTCTCCCTCCCCCGACCCCATCCCCAGGAGCAGACCACACCTGGCGTCCACGGAGACAGTGTAATGGAGACGGCTGCGAAGTAAACCAGTCTGTAAGAAGAGGACAGCGTGCTGTGAGCATATCCTTAGAAATACACCTGCTCGCTGACCAGGCTGTTGGAGCCAGCAGGTCAGCACGCTTTGCACTCCGCAGGCCAGCTGGGTGCGGAGCCCCGGCCTCTGGAATTGGAGCCCCAGGGCCACAGCAGGAGAGGGATGAGCTTATGCAGCGCTCCATCACTCGCGTCCCCAGGGGGATGGCCTTGCCAGTGGAGCACCATGTCCAGGAGAGCAAGGCACCTCTCCAGCCTGCGCTGGGGTGGGCGGGGCCTGGCCCGCCCCCAGGTGGACACGACTCTGTCCCGCTCTGTTGATGCTCCTCTCCTAGATATGTTCACACGCTCGTCAGCCATCTCGCAATCTGGTGGCCCTGCGAGGCCGCCCGTGTGTTTCTGTGAGCATGCCAGTCTCTGTTCCATTTTCTGGCCTGGAATTGGTAATCCCACCCTCAGAGAACAGGCAAGCACCTCTATTCCCCAGCTCATGGGGGGCGGGTGTGCACAGGCGGCCCAGGCACTGCTGGCTTCCGATGGGGAAGCGGGCCCTGCCACCCGCGGCTCTGATTGCTTTCCTGCCCTGTCACTGACCTGGGGGCTGGGGCAGCACAGCAGGATGAAGGCCCCGGGCACCGCCCTCTCTGCAGGCAGAAGCAGCGTTGACAGTCCCCTCCGCCCCACCAACCCTCAGCATCCCTGCGGTAACTTCTGCTGCAGTGAAAAAGCACAACGAAGTGACGCTGCCAGCAGAGCTCTCTGGGACGCTGGATTCATTTAAACTTATTTCACATTATGGTCCAGGTGAAGACTTCTCTCCCCTATCTTTGCAAAATCTGGACAAACATACAGCAGACGTGGGGGGGAGGGGTCGAGGATTTGAAGCATTGGCTTAACGACTGAATCATGATTATATAAGTCATCGTTCTGTGTCACAAGCGACAAAAACCCAGCTCACGCAACTGAAGCATTGAGAGGTGGCTCCCGGCTTCAGGTGTGGCTGGATCCAGAGCCTCAGGTGACGCCATCAGCCTTCTTTCTCTCTGAGTTCTGCTTCCTCTCTGCGAGCTCCCTCTCAGGGAGGCTCTCCCCTGGGCGCTCCCGCCTACATGCCGCCAGCTTAGCACGCTCAGCTAAAAGAAAGCTTCCCTGACAGTCCAGCTGGGGTTCCCACATTTAGCAAATATGCGGGACACACTTGTACTAAAAGAGATCTGGAATTCGAATCTGACTAAGCATCCTGCATTTTATCGGACAACCCTCAGCCGGGCACAGGTCCTAAGGCTGAATCTAGGCAATTTGGATCGCACACCATCACGGACCCAGTTGGGAGGATGGGCTATGCCCCTGACAGGCCAGGGTCCCCACCTATCTCCAGAAAGGGGGGTCACAGTCAGCCGCCTAGTATGCATGCCCTGGCAGAGGACGATGGGGTCCCTTTCACAACAGTTGTGATGCCGGCCCCCGAAGAAGGGGAATTGGCCCGGCGCAGGCAACTACAACAGAGGGCCACACAGTGAGCCTGCCAGTCTCAAACAACAGTGAAGATCGTAAAACCCCATAGTGGTCGTAGAGCACATAATAATTCACGAAGCATCTTCACACCCTTCCTTCCTCATCACCTCCACAGCTCCTGGTTGGCAGAGCAGATATTACGATCACTCCCTGGATTATTTTGCTCAGGCTGCCATAACAAAAACCACCCACAAGGGGTGGAGGTGCTTAAACAATAGGCATCTTTTTTCTGACTACAGTTCTCGAGGCTGGAAGTCCAAGATCAAGGTGTCAGCGCTGTTAGTTTCTTCCTAGGCCCCTCTCTTTGGTTTGCAGATGGATGTCTCCTTGCCGTGTCCTCACATGGTCTTTCTTCTGTTCATGTCTGTGTCCAAATCTTCTGTTCTTATAAAGACACCAGTCATACTGGATTAAGGTTTACCCTAGTGACCTCATGTTAACCTAGTTACCTCTTTTAAGACCCTATCACCAAATATAGTTACGTTCTGAAGTGCTGGGGTTAGGACTTCAGCATACGGATTGACAAGGGGACAAAATTCAGCAGGCAACACTCTTTCCCTCCCTCCCTCCTCCCTCCCTCCCTCCCTCCCTCCTCCCTCCCTCCCTTCCTCCCTTCCTCATTTCCTTCCTTCCTTCCTTCCTTCCTGGACAGTGCGAGCGGTCTCCGGCTGTCCCCAGGCGCGGGGCTCATTTCCTGGTGGAACCCGATAAGCAGCCTGGTCCAGCTGCCAGCAGGGGCAGCCCCTGCCGTGCCCGCCCGCCCTGTGCGCAGCCCGCCCGCCCCGCGGTGGCCACTGTGCAGACAGGCGCCCGCCTGCGGCCGCAGGGCACGCTCCCGTCCTGCAGAGCCCACAGCAAGCTTGTCTCCGCGGTCCCCACCCGTCCCGCAGGGCCAGGCGCCCAGCCGGTGGTGCTGTTGAAATAAGCGTTCCTTGAAAGGAATGAAAACCGCGAGAAAACATTTCTGAAGAGTTTCGGGAGATTAGTGCAAAGAAGAGGAGGACCCGATCCGAAGTGGTAAAAACGCTAGAACAGCAAAAATGATCAGGCCCATGGATATGTAAATGAGCCCGGGGAAGAACTAATCAGAAGGGTAAATTACAAAACAGAAAAAGATGAAAGCAAGAGAAGAACAGTGAATACTTCAGTGTTTTTGGTTCATAAGAAATTCATGAGCAACGCACGTGAAAATGTTGTTGGTTTTGGTGGTGGGGAAGAATTGTAAATATGTATACTATGTAAATACCCTTTATAATAAAAACCCATGAAGATGAACGAGCCTGACTGCAGAAAAGCTGTGAACTGTGTAAGATGCTAATATAGCTGTCGCCCCTGTAGGAAATTACCATAATGCTTAGAGGGATTTGAAAGTTCCTGAGCTTTGAAAAGAAATGCATAAAAACTAATCAGAAAACACACCGAATACCCACTCATCTGTCTCACCCTCTTTCCTTTTTTTCTTCCTTCCTTCCCTCCCTCTTCTTTCTTTCTTTCTCTCTTTCTTTCTCTTTCTTTCCTTCCCTCTTTCCTGTTTTCTTCTCTCCCCCCCTCCCCACCCCCTCTCTCGGCTTTAGTGAAAACAAACATTGGCGTTGGACCTCTGTGGGGTCAAATGCGACCTCTGTGGGGTCAAATGCGACTTCCCTCCAACACCGATGACCTGCGGGGCCTGGGCAGGTCGTCCAGTCCCAGGGGGGTCACTTTGGCCTTCGGTGGTGGGAACAGCGACACCCCACCCCCGCCGCGTTTTGGGGCAGAGCGAGCGGGGGAACGCAGTGCGGCTCCAGCAGGGCTACGGCCCAGCCAGACGCGCGCCCGCGGGCGTGTCGGGGACGAGCGAGGGCGGAGCGGGCGTCGGGCGGAAGGAAGGGTCCACGGGACTGGACTCCGACCGCCCCGCCCCGCACTCGCCGAGCCCATGGCCCTCGCCGAGCCCATGGCCCCCGCCGCGGGTCGCTGGGCGCCGGCCCTGTGGAGGGCGTGCAATGGGCTGATGGCCGCCTTCTTCGCGCTGGCGGCAGTGGTGCAGGTCAGCGGCCCGGCCCCGGAGGCGGGCGGTGGGAAAGGGGCCCGCGGGAACCACTCGCGCCCGGCCCCCAGCTCCGCTCCCGGACCGGCGCGCAGTGCAGACCCGCGAGCCGGCAGGGTCGCAGAGGCGGGGAGTGTAGGTGGAGGGCAGGGTCTGGATGGTGCTTCTGGAACCCCGACCTGCTCCCCACCTGGGACACCGGTGTGTTCCTAGGGCCGCCACAACCCTCTCTTTGGTTTAAAGGCTGGAAGGACCTGGGTCAGAGTGTGTCACTTGGAAAGGGACGGGAGCAGAAGCAGCCCGGGCACCTTTCTTGATATTCTGCTCGCGGATGAGACTAAACGCAGTTCGGGGTCTAGGACAGGAATCAGAACAAAACGTTTTAGAGCACAATTAGGCTTTCACCTCCGCGTTCGGCCACCTTCCCGGTACCTCTCCTCATTCCCTGAGACCGGAATGCCCTAACAACACTCATTCCAGGTTTGGCTCACCCTTTTCAGAGTTCCTTGCAGTTCTTTACAAAAATGTGTGGGCTGCATGTTCAAACCATCTGCTATGTTCAGTCAGAAACCCCTTTTCCCATCACGATCTGCTAGACTATGTCTCATTCCTGCTTCATATCCCCAGTGTCTACGGGTGGCTTGTTGCAGCGCCTGGCCTGTAACAAAAGACTGGGACGAATCAAAGAGCAGACCCAATGGGGGAATGGAACCTGGCAGTGCGTCTGCTAACACCTGATGTTTTCACATTGCAGGTAAATGATCCCGATGCAGGACTCTGGATGGTGAGTATGAGCTGCTCTCCTCTGTCTGAAAGAAATGTGGGCAGCACCAAACACAGCGTTATCTACTTGCTACCACCGCCTGCACTTGGTGTACTTACAGACAGAAATCTAATCCTTTTTATGGTCTTTTCCCTAAATTACTACAGGGGAGTGGGTCAGAGCGATACGGTACTGTGTGTGTGTTAATTCAGAATTTTCCAGAGACATAGGCGTCTTTCAGCAGCATTCCCCTTGAATAAATGGTCCAACTGCGGGTACTTTTTTGAAGACACAGAGTAGAACTCCCAAGGTCCCCATGCATGAGTCTCTACCCAGACACGCCAGCAAACACCTGGCCAGAAAAGGCAGGCTTACGGTTTGTGGCTCTGCTTATTCAGTGAGCTACATTTATAGAAAGTAACTAAAGCCCATGAAACCTACAGTACACATCAAACCAGTGCTCTAATTAAACCATTTGAGGGGACCATGCTATACATTTTCTGAAATATCTGGGTTTTGCCCAGTTTCTTTCACTACAGATACACAACACTGTACAGTATCACTGATAAACTTTGGAATAATGTCTACCATGTACAGATGCAACAAGTGAAAGCATTTGGAATTATAATGCAATATTCTAGTCATTTTTTTAAGTGTAGTAGAACTACAGTCTCATATTGTCCAGAGTCACGTCCCTGAATCAAATAAAATCGCCTCTTGCTCAGCACTCTAGCTCGTATCCTGAGATCAAATACTACTTCCCTGCAGACAAGTCTCAGATATACAGCTCAATGCTGAACTCACCAAGGACTGCGAGGTAGACCCGCCTGTGTGTCACCCCAGTTCCCAAGTACACCCAAGGTCCTGCGCGGCCTCTTTCCCTCCAGAACCCACTCCGCCTGTCGTCAGCAGGATGGTTCTCTGAGTCAGCCTTGCTCAAAACCCCAGTCATCTCTAGCATCTCTCTCTTCCTTACCACTGTCTTTGAGATCCTGTAAAAAAAAAATAGTACCCGAACAACCACCCCAAAAAACCCAATGTAGGTCTAATTGCTTATTGCTTATCCATACAGTACCTTGTACCTATTACCTCTCACTTCATGCTTAGAGGACACAATATGAATAGTAAACCCCATGTCCCTCATCCCCAGTTTAACTCTCCATTACCTCCCACAAGGACCCTTGTGACAGCTTCCTAACTCTTCTAGCTGCCTCTCATCTCTTCCACTGAGAACACTTCCTACATAGAACGTTCGTCATCTCTCAAGATGTCTAAATTGAAACACTCCAACTTGGCATTCGAGGCCCACCGCAATATGGCCCCAGCCCAGCTTTTCAGCGTGGTCTTGGAAGGCCAGTCCATCTATGAAAGTTACTGGGCCTTGCCCCTAGAATTCCTGTGTCATACTCTACTCAAGCTTCAAGGTCTAACTCAAATGTTATCTCATCCACAAAATTCTCTGCCTCTTTCCTGTAGGCTCCAACCACCCGTCCTTTGAGCCTTTAATATGGCACTAATGCATTTTTCTTTGCATTAGAGTTGACTCTACATTCCAGCTCCCAGGGGGACAGGGGCCAATACCTTCTTGGTTCTCAGGCAGCCTAACGTAGTGCCTTCCCTTACCGACTCTTGAACAGAAAGAATGAATGAATGCACTGGTCCTTGGAGGCTTGTCCTGCACCTCACTCATGTCTGAGTTCCCTACTTCATCTTACTCAGGAAGCATACTTGTATCAAGATGCATGCAGGAACAAACAATAGAAAATCTGACTAGCAGGTTGTAAAAATACAGATTATCTCAACAAGAAGTTCAGAGGCTTCATCTTCAATGGCGTCGCCAAGGGCCTATCTTTCTGGCCTCCTTCTCTCATGTTTACAGCCCGGCTGCTGCTGCTGCCAACGTCTCATCCCCAGACAAAAGCATCCCATGTAAGAAGAAACAAGGCAAGAGCAAAATGGGTTTTTCTCCTCTGCTTTCTCCCCTTTTATCAGGGAAGAACCGTTTCCCAAGAAGCACTTCAAGCCGGCTATGTAGTTTGTACACACAAATGGGCTTATGGGCTGGGATCCATTCTGTTTAGTCAGCACCCGTGCATGTTGGTTGTTAAGTACTTTGAGTATCAGCTTTGCCCCTAGAACACTTTACATTTCATTGCCGAAGTGTGATCATCCCTTGTTGCTAAACGAGGCTGGAAAAACAAACTGGCTTTTCAGTTTATACAGTGGCAAGGAGACAAGACAAAACAGTAGTATTTGGAATGACTGCCTTGGGACTCAATGATTATGTGCTGAATTAAACTAAATATTGTAAATAAATATTATGATACCCTTAGTTTAAAAAGTCCACCAAGAGAAAGACAAAGGACTATCAAAATGGGTTCTACCGAGTTCATTATTATTTTACTGTGCATTGTTCTTGTTTTACTAAAAACAATTATTTTCCATCTCTCTGCCCTCAAAAATTCTCATTCAAGGCAGAGAAAAGAATTTAAATCAGGATTAACATGGCATGGTTGCCATGAAAACCATTACTTAGTGTTAAGGGCATTTTTGTTTAAATGTTTACAATATACTGAAATAAGGTCTTAGATCCTTTAATCCATGGTCTCTGTGTGTATAACTTCTGTCCCTCTCCCTCCCTCTCAGTCCCTAAGTCAGGGAGCTTTTCCCCGCCCAGGATATGGAGGGGGAACTACCTCCTCACTACTCTAAGTGGGGTCCTTGGAACAGCAGCAGCCTCCCCTGGGAGCTTATTAGAAAAGCAGTCTCAGGCCCTACCCCAGAACTCTGGAATCAGAATGCATTCTAGTAAGATCTCCAGGCAGTTCATATGCACGGTGAAGGAGGGGAAGCACTCGTCTAACCCGCACTGGCATGGCTGAGAGTCGACCTGCCTTGCGGATGTCCTACTGGCCAACATACCAGTAATCATGAGGGAGGGAGTGGGAAGTCTAAACAGAATCTGAATAATCCAGACTCCAGGGCCCCAGGGCCAAGACAGCAACTCCCTTAAAGTGTACGGCTTTGACAACTTTCAAATAAAACTTTTCTGACATGGGACCACAATTAATGTGGTTATGCAAGTGCATTTCTGGTAGGTATAAACCTACCGTCTCCTTGCTTGACCTCTTTCCAAAACACACATGCAGCAATGGCAGGTGAGGCTGGAGTCTGCTGTGAATGAGGCTTGAAAATAGGGCCTCTTCCGGGCCAGCCTTCCAAACTCCAAACCAACTTACAACGGTTTCCCAGGTGAAGAGCCCGGTCTTCTTCTTGAGCACCTCTGATCCGCAGTCAGCAAACTCTGCGGTCTCACTTGCGGAGATGGGATACTGGGCTGGGAGGCGCGCGGTGCCAGACCCAGCAGGGCTGCCCAGCGGGCTGTGGCTACCCCCGCCCTGCTTTGCAAAGAGCATTTTCTTTCATGCAAGTGGGGAAAGGCCATTTGCGCATGAATGTTGCTTGGGAGAGATGAGGTCAGTGTGTCTTGAGGCCCAAACTCTGCTGACTGCTAGAGCTCAGAGAGACATGAGCCTTTCCTGGGACAGCCTACAGTCTAGGAGGAAGGCAGGTGAAATGACAACTTGATATGGTTAGGTGCCATACAACCAGAGATTACCACTTCCTCAGCTGTTCCCGAACCCTAAAGTAGATCGTGGAGTGCAATGGCCTCCGATGTCGCCTTTCCTTCCTTCCTCGATCTTTCTGAACATCTCCTATGTTGCACGTACTTCTTAACCCCCGCAACTTCCTCCCTTTTTGCCAACAGGCTGTGTATATGATTCCTGCCGGGCTGACCTTGCTCGTTGGACTTGATCCTCTTGTCACAGGTAGGAACGTTGGATTCTGAGTGGAGATAAAAAATGCTTATGAATGAGTGAATGGCTGTAAAACAGAGGGTTTATCATATATTTATTTTGTAGCCTGCTTCTTGGACTCCATACTTACATATGTATCCCAGGCGAGTATGTGTGTAAAAAATTCACACAAAATAGCTGGTCTGTATTGCCCGTAGGATACCTGCCTCAATTATGGGTAAATGTAGCTGCTTTGCCTTTTATGACCCTAAAAGCTCTCAGCAAACCTTTAGTTGGGCAGTTATATACTATAAAACAGTGCCGTAGGAAAAAAACACATTTTACAGTATTTACTAACATTTTCTTATTAATGGGGAATATTAGTCCTGCAAGTTATTCTTCATTCTCTTAAAAGCAGCTTCTACTAGTAGGGCTTCAAAGTTCTCAAGGTCTTAGAATAAAGACTGGTTCCCACCTGGGAGGGGCAACTCCTGTCCGCTTGGTGCTTGGGCTCCTTGTTTGGCCCCTAGAACTCTGTCTGCATCTTCAAAGTGTCTAAGTTGGGGCTCCATTCATTGCAAGCAAGGAAAAAAACTCAGATGGTCTCTAAGCTAAAAAGTAGATGTAATGGGACACCTGGCTGGAGAGGCGAGGGGGGCGCTGGCGTCGGGCCCTGCTGGGCTGGGACTTAAACCTCCCTGTGCATTCAGGTCCACCGTGGACCGCAGGCTTCAGTCCTGGGCTCCCCGAGGTCGTCTTGCAGCTCCGTTCGCGTCTTCACCACAGAATATAGAATCCACGATATCTCCACCAAAGTCCCAAGAATTGAGCCATTGGCCCTGATTTGTCATCTCTTCATCCTGAGCTAAACTGCTGTCACGAACAGATGAAATGCATTGGGTGACCCAGCTTAGATCCATGTGACCGGTGTGTGGGAGGGGTGGATTCCCAGAGAAAACAAGGGTAGTCTCAAAAACAATAAATGTCCACTTAAATTTATAATTACTGCCTTAACATCTGTGACGTCCCTCAAAACAAGACAAAGCCCAGACTGTTCTGAATGCTTTGTCTGAAAAGTCCGTACAAGATCGTTTTCCTCTGGGATGTGATTCTGTGATTTCCATTTTTAGGTAACTTGATTTGGAAGAGTGTCTCTGCGATACACATCTTCCTCTGCACGGCGTGGGCTGTCCGCTTGACACACTACCTGGTGCTTCATACGCAGTGGAACCTCCTCCATGAGGAGGAAGGCAGGTGGGCACTGACGGGCTCTCCGCAGGGGTGGGAAGAACCGGAAATCGGCTCCTTTCCAGCATCTCATCTGTGCGCAGGGACTTAGTATCTCCAACTGCGCCATGAAAGGCAGGGAAGGTGTTACCTTTTTTACAAACTGAACCTGAGAAATGATGGAACCACGGCCACTTCTCTGGGCAGCCATCGCGTCCTATGTTAGATAGCCATCAGGCAGTGGGTCCTTGTGAGCAAGGATACTGTGCATGAACAGTCCCGTCTAACACAGTGAAAACTCCGTCAGCACTGATTCAGTTCTGCCTCAAGCCAAAATCTGACCTACAAGTGTGATCAGCCACCTCAGGGGTCAATTTCCCTTTGTCATAGCCATTCATTCTTACCGGCTCTTCCTTTGCTTCCTCCCACCTGTCTCACTAGGAGCCCAACTGCTTTCCTTTCCATCCCATTGCTAGCATTTGCCAATACGAAGATTTAAAGACCTGTAAGTTAAGCGTCACTGCTGAGGCGCTGCTACAGTGTAGGATCAGGTTGGACCAGTCAGTGGGGGTGTAAAGCCAACAGCTTGAATCACCTCCACCGACTTGAAGCCTACAAGCCATGGTGAACCCAAAGTGGGGCTTCCAGGGGTACTGTGATCAAATACAGTTGTCTTCTACCTTATGTAAATGATGAGTGCTTTTAACACATTTCTAGCATGAACCCAGCCCAAAATCATTAGTCTGGCTCACACAGCAAATCATTTCTCTCCGCAAAGCTGTGACCCAGTCTTCGCAGCATGTGCTCAAATTATTACTCAACACCTGAAACAATGTAAAAAAGTGTGCTTGATCAAATTGAAGTTGTATTCTTGGTTGCAGTATTCCACCCAGTGACATGAAATGATTTAGCTGTTTTTGTTTTATTGGTTTCTTACTCATTTCTAAGTTGGGGTCAGTCATGGAGTTGTGTATTTGCTTCGTAAGGCGGTATTTGTTTTTATGTAGGGATTGTTAACTATCTGTGGAAAGTAAATTATGAATCCGGCCAGACTTGAAAATATCCTAGGGATGCTATGTATCTTGAGGGAAGCCATCCAACCATCAGCAGAACCAAGCGTAATGGAGATAGTGGGATGACGTGGCTCTCATTGGCCGCCGCTTCAGATGTACGCACTGCCTGCTATTTTACAGGGAGCTGTTTGGCCTGGTGATTATCACAGCGTGGATGAGCCTGTGCCACCATTCATCAAAGTAAGTTTTCAAATCGGATGTGTTCAAGGTTGATCAGGATCAGACCAGGTAGGTTAAATGAGCTTTTTGAAACACAAATAAGAACAGGAATCTTTTGAAATATTTCTAAGGAAAGTTCATAGTAGTTGACTCAGTATCTCATGATCATTAATACTTTCATGAATACTATGGTTCCCCACACGGCCAGGAGTAATCACAGGGTGTTGCCCGTGGAAAGGGTGTTCTTCAGGGAGAAGGAAAATGATCTCAGAAAGAACCTTGGAGATTGAGGGAAGAATAAAGAGCAAATTTTTTTTTAAGTGTGAATACATATAAGGAATATTAATGTTATAAACAATAACGATGTTTTGTGGGGCTTAAACATACAGGGGAAAAAATACATGACAGGAGTAGCATGTAAGTCGGAAGGTACAGTGTTCTAAGATCCTTAAATTGTCTGGGAAGAAGTAAAAGTAGCAATTTATATTTGACTTTGGTAGGTCACAGATTCATGTGGTAATCCTCAGGGTAAACACTAAAAAAGAAGAATGAGTACAGGCAGCAGGAAAAGAGAAGAGAAAAAGAACAGATTAGGAAAAATAGGAAGCAGATGTTAGGAAAATAAACCCATGTATGTGAGAAATTACATTAAATGTAAATGTTCCAAATATTACAATTGAGTCAGAGATTTTCAATGTGGATAAAAATATTAAAAACCCACTAAACAAATGCTTACAAAAGATAACCCTTAATTATATAGATACAGAAAGTCAAAAGATAGAAAAACTACACTTTACAAATACTAACTAAATGAAAGTTAGCATAGCAATTTTTAATTTAAAAAAATATAGACTTTAAGACCAACATTACAGAGAAAGGACATTTTGTGATTATTTTAAATTTTTTATTTTAAAATATTCAGACATACAAAAGCAGAGACTAATACAATGAATGAGACATACCCATCACCTAGCTTAAACAGTATTTGTCCAGTCGTTTAATCTGTATCACTGTCTTTGCCACACTTATTTTGAAATAAATTCCAGATATGTTTTATGTGTAAATATTTCAGTATGTATCCTTAAAAAAAAAACTGCTTTACCATCATCACACACAGAAAATAAAAGAATTCCAAAAAATTGAGTTTTCCAGTCAATGATTATCTTTCCCAAGTTGTTTCTCTGTGTTTATTTCCAATAAACTGGTGGTTAGATCCATACAAAATTACTTCATCGGTGGTATTTATGTACTTCCATCATAATATACATAATGCCCGGCTGTTTCTTCATAATGTTAGTCTTTGATGATCATTGCCTAAGTCCATTAATTCATTTGCGTTTCAAAACGGTGCTATTCTAATTATACCATTCCTTATTAGCTGGAAACCTTCTATAAAGGGAAACTTCCACTTAACAGTTCTTTAAGATACAGATCATAAGAGGAAAAGGAAAAATAGAGTTGGTTCTTAATTTTCCAAGTTTTCAAAATAATGAGTCTTTCGTGCCTGGGAATCTTCCAAAAGTGAGTCTTGTTTATGTTGTGTGAGCAGGATCATTGCGAAGTCGTGGATTTCAACAGAGCTGATCTTGTTTCAGTCCCTAGACGTCGTCACCTTTGTTGATGCTGCCGCTGCCTGTCCTCCCCAGTGGCATTCCTTCTGGTTTGCATCCTGAATTTTTTTCTTCCATAACCCCAGTTGTCTTCTATTGCTTTCTGGTATGACCAAATGTTCCAAGATAATGTCGTACATGTAACACCCCAGACCCGGAATCAACCACTTGTCCAAGCAGCCCTGGTTACTTCTGGAGGGTAACGGTATTTAAAGGTCACAATCTAGGCACGAGCAGCACGCGCTGCTGCTGGATTGGTCGTTGGTTCTTTTCAGTGAACAGAGCTAGGAAATTCACATACGTGTGCAATATGTGTATATATAACATATAGAAAGATAATTTTACACGTGTACTTAAAAATAAAATGAGTTCATATTGATCCTAGCAATTCAAATGGAAGGACACAGATTTTCATGTAACCTTATCAGCAATCTTTTATTTCCTTTTAATCATCTCTAAAAATCTCTAATCATCTTTAATCATCTTTAAAAATCTCTAATGCCAGCGCCCTTAACATAACTCATTTGACTTACCCCACAGTACACGCACAGTCTCAGAAAAGCAGTGATTACCGGAAACAGATTGCTGGGGGGTTCGTTTGTCGTCGTTGTTAGGCAGCACTCCTCTAAGGCAGGGTTCGGCACCGCCTGGGCCCTGCCCTCTGCCCACCCACACCCGAAGCCAAAAAGGGTGGGGACCCTGCTCTAAGGGATATACATTCAAATTACTTGGGATCATGAGCCTGTGTGCCAACCAGTGAATACAACTACGTTTATTTTACTTTCATTTCCAAGGATAACTTTATTAAAATGTATTGTCTTATAATTATGTAAAATAGCTACCTGGTCCCAAAGTCAAATCTCCAAAACATATTCAAAGAACTCTAGCTTCTTGATCTCCCAACCCTACACTCTCCCTTTTACAGGTAAAACTTTTTTCAATTTTATGGTTTATCTTCCTACGGTTTCTTAATGGAGCAAATATGTGCATTTATTTGTACTCCTGCTTATCTTAAGTAAGTGGAGGCATAGTATACACAGTTGTCTTCTCTTTGATTTTTCCCTGACTACATCCCAGTGATCATTCTGTTGTATATAAAGACTTCCCTTATTCTGCTGATAGGTCTACAGTGTATCAGTCCTCTGTTCAGATTATAGCCAATCTTTTGCTATAATACCAACAGTATATTGTCAAAATTTTGAATTTTTACTAATCAGTTAAGAAATGGGTAGTTTTAATTTGCATTTTTCCTATTAGGATCAAAGGTGAGCATATTTTCATATCATTAAGAGTCATTTGCAATTCTTTTTTCTATAAAATATTGGTTCATCTCTGAGATACAGGTTTTACCTGTTTTTAAGGCTGTTAGTCTTCTCTTTTTAGAATCTCTTTATATACTATGACTATTAACCCTTTGTGACATAAGCTGAAAAAATTTTTTTTGCAGTTTCTTATTGTCATTTTACTTTGCTTATGAAAAGTATACTTTGCCATGAAAATGTTTTGTTTTTAATGTAACCAAATCTATCAGTCCTTTCCCTTACTGCTTCTGGATTTGGAGTCCTAGGAAATCTTTCCTCTCAGCATTTAAAGAAAAGTAAGTTTTCTTCTAATACATGTATTTACATTTAAATTTTTGATTTAGTTAGAATTTATCCCAGTGTGACAGTATAAAGAATTGATCCAAAATTACCTTTTTTCCTTTCTGCTACACTGTAATCTCAACACCACTTGTAAAAACTGGATTTAAGATGCCAAAGAAAGACACCTTTTAATGACTAAGGATTCATTAAATCAGGAAGGTATTATAAACCATTATATCAGATATAATAACAATTCTAAATTTGTATACAACAACATAGCCTCAAAATAGATAAAACAAAACTAAAGTTGGATAATCTACAGCTATCTTGGGAGACTTTATCAGACTTCTTCCAGACACTAACAGTCAAAGAAAACCAACCAACCAACCCAGGAGAGATGCAGCTGATCTGTGCTACCAGGCACATGCGAACACTGGCACCAGGAGCGGTGGAGCACACGTTCTTGTCAAGCACACGGTGCAGACCTGCAAAAAGACTACGGTGGGCCATGAAATAAGACCCCCAAAATTTCAGAGAATATCCTTTCACCACAGTGCAATTAAGCTAGAAATACTTGACAAAAATAATTAGACAATCATTTATGTCTGGAAATCAGGAAATATACTTCCAAATAATATCTGGGTAGAACAAATCACATGGATTTTAGAAAATATTTTGAATGCAATGATAGGAATACTACATATTACATTTTGTGGAATGTAGCTAAAATTATGCTTAGAGGGAAAAGTATAGCCTTCAATATGTGTATTAAAAAAAACACACAAGGGTGAAAATTAATGAGCTAATCTTCCAAGAATTTAGGAATTCTCCAATTCAGGAAGTCAGGAAAGTACATCAAATTAAACCCAAAGAAACAAGAAGAAAGTAAACATAAACATAGAAACCAATGAAATGAAAAGTCACCATAAAAAAAAAATAGAAGACTGAGTAGGTCAGGTATTCATTCTCTGAAATGATTTATAATACTGCTAGCCTGGGTAAGACTAAAGAGGGAAAATAATAAGAGTGAGAGCAAAGAAGAGGAGGTACAAAGAGCCAATATCAGGTATGCAAAACATCGTTATTATCTAGTAGATATTGCAAAAATCATTAAGACACTATGAATAACATTTTGCCAGCAAATTTGAAAATGCAGACATAAATGAACAAATTCATTAAAAAATACAATTTATCAAAACTGAAACAGGAAATACTCAGAACAATCCCATAAATATTAAAGAAATTGAGTCCATAATTTAAGTTTTTCCTAAAAAACTCTAAACCAAATGGTATAATTGGAGAATTCTACCTTATATTTAAGGGGGAAAAAAATGCCAGACTTCAACAAACTCTTCCAGAGAATGAAAAAAGAACAAACACTTTCCAATTCATTTTATTAGGGCAGAATATTCTTGATACCAAAACTTGACAAGATCATTACAGGAGGAAAAAAAAAAAAGGAAATTACATGACAATCTCACTTATGACCACAGATGGAAAAATGCCTTTATTCTAGGAATACAACCAGTTTAATGTTCAAAAAGCAACCAATGTTTTCTACTACAGTAACAGAATGAAAGAAGAAATCAAACTATCTTCTCACTGTATACAAAAAGAGCATCTGATAAAATTCGACATCCACTCATGACAAAAGCTCACAGAACAGAGGTGTGCACGGGAACGCAGCCAGATGAGGGCATCTATGCCAAAGCATGATGCTCCCCAGTGCGCAGGAGAGGATTTCCCTGAGGTCAGGAACGAGATGAGGTTGGTCACTACTGACATTTCTACTCAACGCTGTCCTAGTTACTGTCCTCACCATACAAGAAGGCAAGAAAAAGGAATAAAAGGCCCAAAGGTTGAAGAGGAAAAATTAAATTTTCACTATTCATGGGTGATATGATTATAAAGAAAAGCAAAAAGGATCTAAAAAGTTTTTTGAATAAGTGAGATTAGCATGACTGCTGGATACTAGGTCAATATACTAAAATCCACTACATTCTTATGAGCAAGTAATAGAAAATAACAACCAAAAGTTATGATTTATAGTAACATTAAAAAAAATCAACTCCCTAGGAATAAATCTAGCAGAGACATGCAAAATATCTATATTCAAAACTGTAAAATATTATGGGAGAAATTAAAGACCTAAATAATTTTTCTGTGGCAGTATAGGCTAAACATATTATTGGCAAAAGGATAAATTAGTGAAACAAAATAGAATTTAGAAACAGATCCATCCATCCATCCAGAGACGTATGTCATAGCGGCACCGCAGGGCAGCAAAGAAAGGCAGTCTTTAATAAGTAATGCTGAAGCATTTGGATATCCATGTGGGGAAAAAGCCAAACCACCCCTACCTTACAACTTTCAGAAAAATTAATTCCAGGTGGGTTACAGATCTAATGTGAAAGCAAAAAGTAAAACTTTTAGAGAAGGTAAGATTTTTGAAGACCTTCGGGAGGGGAAATGTGTCATACAAGACTCTCAAATCATTATGAAAAGATAAATTTTAACACTGCTTAATCAGTCAATGACTTCAGTTCCTCAAAAGACATGACTGAGTGGAAAAAGCTATTTGCAACACATATAAACAAAAAGGATTTGCCTTTAGAATACATAAAGAATTCATAAGATCAATGTTATATTTCAATAAAAAATGTTTTTAAAAACGGATCATACCAAAAAATGTTTTACCAAATTCTATCTTTACACTTGTTTCGAAAGCAATCTGTAATTTTAACTGGGTTTTTATGTATAATAATTTCTGTCTCTACAGGAACCCGGGGGGTGGAAGAATCCGGCTGGCCGTGGCCACTGCCGTCGCCCTCCTCCCCGCCGCGGCCTGGGCCTACGTGTACATTAACACAGAGCTGCGGTCCTCCTGGCCAGCCCACTGCAGGACAGTCATTTGAATGAAGAATCCTGTTCTTAAAATGAAAATTTTCAGTTTTATAAACATGGATTATTTTCTCAATCCTAAGAACTGTTTGAGGCTGACGACAACACATCGATCGGGCTGGGTGGGGCTAGTAAGAGACGGGGTCTGACATTCCATTGGGTCCAAGGGAAGCAGAAAAGGCAGTCAGAACAGAGCTAAGAAACAGGGATTCTAACTCAGCTTCCTCACTGTCTGTGTGACTTGGGCAAATATAAAAGTCTCCTGGTGGGTATTTCTTTCTCGATAAAACAGGATCAATACTATTTATATAGTTGCAAGGATTAAACCAATAAAATAAGAGCACTGTGAAAACGTAAAGTGCTTACAAAGGGCTGCACATAATTAAAACAGAGGGAAGCTGGGTTTGCTTAGTTATGATAGAAATGGAGGCTCCTTCCATTTAACGGGTACAGTGCCATGAACTAAATGAGGACTCCAGATGAACTGGCAAGCATATCTTAAAAAGAAAGTTATATAAAATAAAAAAAAACTGGAAACCAAAAGGACAACAGGGAGTATTAATTACATTGTAAATGAAAAATAAGACCAAAATCTACACACATTTTTTAAAACTGCAAATTTTTTTCAACTGATTTTATATCTAAATACAGATCAAGTGCTTCCAATGAAGTTAGTGCCCAAATGGAAAAGATCTAAGTATAAAATATACACTAGATTTTAAAGACATCGTATTAAAAATGTAAAATTTTTTGATTACATGTTGAAATATTTTAGATATACTGGGGTAAATAAATTATTAAAATTCATTTTATCTGCTTGTTTACTTTTTAAACACAACTGCTAAAATATTTAACCCCCCCCCTCCGGGGGCACGCGTTGTATTTCTGCGCATCAGCGCTGCCGAGTGCAGATGGGGGGCCGCGCTTGCGCACAGGCTGCCCTCCAGCTTGGCGGCCAAGGCCCTGCTTCGCGAGACCTGGGAACTGTTTCACCAAAAAGCGTGAGCACCAGTCGTATGTCAGGAGAGCGGGAGTGCGCCTGGTAGTCCGTCTCTATTAAGTGTTCTATTATAAATGTTTGTTAAAGGTATGCGTGTGTTCTGTTTGGTTTATGCAATGGCCACCGGTCAGAAATTCTTGATTTAAAATTTGGATAACATAAAATGAAAAAAAAATCTTGTTGATATGAAAGCAATTGAAGTGAAATTTGAGAGTCAATAAAGTATTTCAATGTTCCAGTATACACTTAGGTCGTATAGTATTTATGACTTTTATACCTTCTAGTATAACTATGAAGGTCATATATGAAGAAATGGACTTACTCGCAAATGCTACCTATATGGGACCCGCCCGTCCTCCGAGTAATGCTTGATTCTGTGCTTAAGAGATGGTAATGCTCCAATTTGAAAAAAAGAAGTACCACACTTTCATCATACCTACATCGCCCGTAACACACTGAATTCTGGAAATATATAGTTCCTTTTAAATCTCCATAGGTATGTAAAAGGAGAGTACTGCCTTTAATTGCTTTTAAACTCTACTTTTCAGATGAATTTAAGTATTATTAGTAAGTTTAGTATGTCTATTATCAAAGCCTGTCTCTCACCCCCAGTCTTTTCCTGCCATTGTCACCGTTCCACACCAGCCTCCCGTTCCCTGCGGCCTGGACTGAGACGCAACCCTGATCGCACAGCGCCCCACGCAGGCGCCCGCGGGTCCTCGCACTGGAGGACGAGATACATCCCAACTCTGGGCTGGTCATTCGAGGCTGCTCCCCACACAGCCGAAGCTTAACCTCTCCCTGCTTGCTCTTCTGGAGACCTCACAGCAGTACGTGCCGCTCCTAGATGTGGCATATCCTTCCCGGCCTCCGCCTGCGCTGTTCTGTCTACTTGAAATGCCCCTCCACACCCATTTAAACCATTTTTGTTTCAAGTCATCCCTTCAAACAAAATTAAACTTCTGCCCCACATTCCCACAGTCCTGTCTTCACACACGTACATCCAGGGATCTGTCTGTTCACAAAGTCGGCGAAGCAGGGAGTACAGTACAGCCATCGCTGAGGTAAGCCGAACGGCAGCCCTCGAGATATCCAGGCCCTCATCCCCACGGTGTATGACTGTTACCTTTTATAGCAAAATGGGCTTTGCAGACGTGATCAAGTCGAGGCTCTGAAGATGAGATGGTCCTGGATTATCTGGTGGGCCCTCAATGTAATCACAATTGTGAGACAGAGAGAGAGGAAGAGAGACACAGAGACTTGACTAGATAGAAGAGTAAAAGGCAATGTGACAACAAAGCAGAAAGAGATCTGACAGCGTGACCTTGCTGGCTGTGACAATGGAGGGAGGGAGCCATAGGCCAAGGAATGCAAGAGACGCAGCTCCAGAAGCTGGAAAAGGCAAGGAAACGGATCCGCCCCCAGGCCCCCGAGGGAGCACAGCCCTATCACCATCTTGGTCTCAGCCCAGTGACAGTAATTTCAGCCTTCTGACTCCACAACTGTAAGAGAACAAATGTGTGTTACTTAAGCCACCCAGTTTGTGGGAATTTGCCACAGCAGCCACAGAAAGCGCCCGTGCCTGTACCCCCACCACGCACACCTGTGTCGACTGGCACTGGTTTCTCTCTTGCTGGTTTTAAGCCCTGAATCAGACTTCCTCTCCACTTCAACAGGCCCCCTTGGCCGCCCAGTGCGTGTTTCTGCAAGTAAGCCTTAGCAGCTACGACAGCGGAGTTAACGTGTCCCGCTTATCTGTGAAGGGAGTCAAAGGTACATTCACTTGGCTGCTGTCCTCACGCAGCACTGGCCGGTGGCCCAGACAGGCCACGGCAGCAGGCACAGAGCTGCACTGGCACTTGCTTCTGCTTTGGTTGGAGTCACGAGAGTCACATACCTTCCCTAAAGGCCCTTTTTATAGCCTCACACGGGAGGGCACACATTCACCCGTGTGAATGGGAGCACCATTCAGTCACCTGTGAAGCAACTTGATAGCTTTGGTCTACAATATAGGAACGCAAGTCTGTAAAAGTACAACATGATGGATATTCTGAGCAAAAATATGTCCAAGGCTCATTTGCATAGCAGGGTTAAAAAAAAAGCTTTACCTGAGCTTACTTTCTTTTTTTATGAATTTTAAGTTTCATAGCTACTACATGAGCATATTTTCCTTGTACAAAGGAAAAAAATTTTTTTAAAAACTCAGGTAAGGCTACAATACAGTCTGTTTCGAGGACTCTCACCACCCTCCCCGCCCCGCCCCCCGGTCTCCTCCCTGGGTCACATTCATTCACCTTCTTTCCGATTTTCAGCGCTAGATATATGATCCAGAAATGACATTTCAGAACGCCTTGTGAGCTGACACACGCTGAAGCCAGCAGAGTAACAAGGACACTGAGGATTTAGGGGTGGGGTAGGGGAACAAAAACACAAACCAAAGCCATCCTTTTTCTATAAAGATAAAACAAATCAGACTAAAAATGGAAAAGGTTTTTCCTCTTATAATTCATGACCCTATCTGTGACGCGGCCACTCCCTCTCAGCACCATCCTGTCAGGATAGACATAAACGGTGCCGAACGCCTGGCTGTCTGGAGCGGTCTCGATGACGCCTTCCACGTTGACGTGGTGCACACCACACGGGTCCTCGGAGTAGCCACCATCGTGAGTGTGACCGGCGAAGAAACACACCACACACTCATGAGACCAAATGACTGCAAGGGCGTCCCTGAAATTCCAGGCCAGGCACACGGCGTCAGAGGCATTTGGGTAAATAGGAAGGTGGCCTGTTTGTCAAAGAGAAGAAGAGTTAGGAGCCAATTAGGATACACCCCTTCCACCAAAATAAACGGCTAAAAGCTAATACTCAGAAAAACATGTGTACTACTACCTCGTTACAGACTGAGACCAGCAAGAGTTCACACACGTGAAGAACCAGATCCTCTACAGCCATGTCTCCAGCGTGTGAAGGGTGAGACAGTCCACACGCAAGGGCAGAGAGGCCCCAGGCGAGAGAGAGCCCCGAGAGTCTCAAGATGTTCAAACATCAAGGGAGACCACGGGCGCCCTGCACGGCGCCGTCTGCAAAGGCAGCCAGAGGCAAGCCAACGCCGTGCGCGAGCCCAGGCCCGCCGACCTCCTTAGGTATACCCATGGTGTATGCACACACGGCAGACTCCTCAGGGAAAAAACACTTTAGGGACGGGCCAGTGGCTCAGATGTCATTTTTATAAATGGTCAATGTTTTATAAAAAAGTGATTAATGCCACTTTAAACACCTCCAGGAGAGCAAGGTAGCCACAGCCACTTTACGGATGAGGAGGCTGAGCTAACGTGAGAAACACTCACACTGGGCCCCACAGGTCATATGTGGAAGTGGAGCCAGAAGACTTTCAAATTCCTGATGCCAAGACACGTATGAGGCCACGTCATGGATCAGGCCACATGTGCACTCTGAAGTACGGGTACAACAGCTCCCTGGGCTTTGCTTCCTCTCATTAAATTACTTTTCTCTCTGTTACTGTTTATTTTTATTCTAAATATTTTTATGCTGCTTAGTATCTATTAGTTTGTATTACAAGTAAAAAAAAGAAAGGCGCTAACAGTACTTGCACTGTTACTTGCACGCACGCACACACTGAAGCAACGCAAGCTGCGACGAGGGCTAAGGGCGCAAAGGGGCTGTGCGGCCTCCCGGGTCTAGATACCAGAGGGGATCGTCTGCCAAGTCCTGGCTGCTCCCTTCTCACCGAGTCCAGGACAGAACCGGTCCTCTGAGCTTCCCCGCAACCTCAGGGTCTACTAACTAAGCCTCACTCTCCTCGGCCGGTTCCTCGTTTCCCCTGTATTAGAAGGGCCTGCATGCTTGGTTCTTGGGCTTCACTTCTCTGTCTACACGTGAAGACTTGGTGATCTTAGTCATGTACGTACATAGTTTCAAACATCATCTGCAGTCTTTCGATTTCGACATTTGTACACCCCGCCCAAACTTCTATTCTGAATTTCAGATTCATTATCTCCAGACTGCTTGCTCAACATCTCCACTGATAGGTAACAGGCACCTGAAACTTAGTATTTTCAAACTTGAACTCCTAACCCTCCACGCAAAACCTCCTCCTGCCGCAGGGCTCCAGAGCTCCACTAAGAGCAATTCTGTCCTTCCAACCTCATGGCCAAAACTTGAGAATTGGGCAAAATAATATCGGAGTAGCCAAAAGGACAGTGAAAAAGCAAAAGAAAAGAAAGTTTCTATTAGTCATTTTAAACTTTGCTAAAGAAAGTCGGAGACACTCAGTTGTTAAAGGTTGTTCATCCAGTTTCTAAGGTTACAGACGACAGAAGAAATTTAAGAGATGGATACTGCTGATAAGTGCACTGACAGAAAACACGAGAAGACTATAGGACAGAGCGGGAAAGGGGCTGGGAATCAAAACACACTCTCTAGTCTCAGTTCTGTCAGTAGCTGTGTGATTTTAGTTTAACCTCTTTTGGTTCAGTTTCCTTATCTTTAGAATTAAAAGGTTTGACTATATGATCTCAAGGTCCCTTTTAGCTCCAGTACTCTCTAAAGTAACAAGTCCAAGCTAGCAGTGAAAAACTTAAAAGCAGAGACAGTCAGGAGGTATCTCAGTTTCTGAGACCACTCATTGCAAAACCAAAATACTGTCACATCATGCAAATAACCCCCAAGGGTACCTTACAAGTTCCAAGCCTTGAGTGCCATTTGATACACTGATGGTAGTAGAAACACCTCTAACTCCGTCTACATGTTTTTATGACATCAGTGGAAGATAGTAAGTAAAAAACTACATATATAGATAGACACCTAATTTTTTATCAACTATTTGGACAGCTTGTCATTTTCAAAGTTTTCATGTTCACAATTTCATTTGATGCAATACTGCGAAAAGCAGAGTTTGTAGGCTGGACATTTGTCCAGAGTCACACAGATCACAGACGTAAGAGCCAGAATGGCATTCTGTCCTTGTCCAGTATCCTCATCTGTTATGCCACATCAATTAGATCCCTCAAACCACCTCAGGATCTAATCCTGTGTCCACTGAACTACTCCAGGATCTAATCCTGAGGTTCTAAAGGCATCTAGTCTCAGCCCCCAAACCAAGTGCACCAGCCACAGTGCAAATTCCAGTTCAAGTCTTTGTGTATACGTGAACGTGCACACACTCACATCTGGGTGGATTCTAAGCACTTGGATTCCTACAATCTCTGATGGCAGTACGTCTGTAAACATGATTCTGAATGAAAATAATAATGACATCCGGGCTCCCTGCCAGTAGGGTCTCTAACACTCATGGCCATTGGACCGGCTTTGCTTTCATCCTGGCGGCAGGGGCCTCTGGCTGGTGGCCACTGCACTCACAGGTAGGTCTCCGAAGGTTGGGATTTGGGCCGGGGCCTGAACTGAATTTTTCATTTAAATTTCACTATGTAAATGGATCCCATTTGGGGAAATTCTACTATGAAACCTAAAAGGCCAACTCACAGGCTCTAGTATATGGCAAGATATGTTTGCTATTTTACAATTCAATTCTTCCCTGACTCGACCTTAAATGTTAATCTCATACTCAGATTGTTTTTCTCAATAAAATATCAGACTTTTTTCAATAAAAAAATATTTAAACTAAGCATTCATTTTATAGAAAGAAGATAGCGCAGTATAATAAATGTTATTAGTACATTTTAAAAATCTAACTTTTCTCATTCTGTAGAATGCTAGTAGTTAACAAATCATTTAAGTACTTACTCACGATCACCACCTTTTCCTGGTTTCTGTCAGAGAATGTAAGGACTTCATTCAACCAGTTCAGTTGTTCTTGGCTGAATCCTCCATTAAACTGGACAAACTGAGGCTCGGAAAGCCCTAAAATGAATTCTGTAAGTTAGATCCATCAAATATCATTTTCTTCTCATTAGGACATTCAAACTTGGCTAATATGGGTACACTGCTCTTTAGGAACATTTGGCAGCAATTGAGTTAAAATAGGAAACCACCACGATTTACAGTGATATACAAATAAATCACACTGTATCTTATTCCTAGTCTTGACATTCTGCTTACTTCATTAGCTTCCTATCACACTGAAAATAAAATAGACTCTTTAGTGTCCACTGAACTACTCCAGAGCCCTCCTGCTGACTCTTTCCCGCGTTCGGCAATGCCGAAGTCCTCCTATGCTCAGTGCCTCTGCATTCGTTTCTCCCTGTCGCAGGTGTTCTTCCCAAGGTCGACTCCCTCCTAGTCATTTAGGTTTCGGCTTAAGTGTTTTGCTCCTTGGAGAAGCTCTCTCTGATCACCCGAGCTAAAACAGTCCCCCTTTATTTTCTTGGTAGCATATATCATTGTGGAAATAATCTTGTTACTCTGTCATTAATTACCAGTCCTGCCTGCTTCCTTTTCTTGTTTCCTCCACTCTATGCCTTAAAAAAGCAGCTCTGTCAATACTGCTTACAGTTCTAAGCAGCTAAGCTCTAGGAAAAGCGCTCAGCCCCAAGCAGGCATTCAGGTATCTGTTAAAGAAATCTTGAACCAACTGCAACCAATCCATGTGCCATGAGGCCTGTGAGAAATCCTGACCCTGAACGACAGTGACAATATACTTTTACCTTAATCATCCATCTTCCTGCTGAATAAAAGGTAGCTGGAGAAGTTAAAGACAATGTATTAGATTCTCAGCTCAAAGGAATAATTCACCTTGAGGACTATTCAATTCCAAATTTGGATTGTGCTCCTTCAGCATCTTCAGACACTGCTGGTATTTTGGAGAAGACTGATCCACGCCCAAGACACTCAAGTCATAAGCATCGAGTAAAATGAACCGGAATTTAGGGAATGGCACAAAATGGTAAGCGTAGTAACTCCCTGTAGGCACAGTCTCAGGATGATGTACAATGTGATCTTCTAGAAACTTTGTGTTCAGTTTAGAGTTTGTTAAATACTCTCTGCTGAAGTTATAGAATTCATGATTTCCCCATGTATGATGAACTGGGACTTTAAGCATTTGAAACACATTCATAACAAGTTCTAGTGACTTCTCTGACGCTTTATACTGCGCATTATAGCCATCAATGATATCTCCGAGCTGAAGTACACAACAGGGCGGGCTGCTTTCTTTATTCCAGTGTTTGATAGCATCCTGTAAGTGAATGATACTATGTCTGTAGTATCTTCTTCTGTTTCCTTGGTAATTATAGCCGTCTTCTAGGTTAGCATATTGAATATCTGCTATGACTCCAAAGGAGAAAAGCAGCTCTGAGCTCTCACTTACAGTGCCAGGATGGGGCTTCTCATCCATAACCTCCAAGAGGGTTTCTAAATAAAGCAAAAAGGTAACTAAGTTATAAACATCTTAATTTTCCAATGGTAAAATGGATATTAAATGTAATAGTCAATCCACTAGGAAGCTTGTTATAGAGGAAAGTACAAGGGCTTCATAGTCTGATGGTCTTAGGTCCAATTACCAAGTCCTTGAAATGCTTCAGTTTTATCTGTGAAATACACAATAACCTGTACTCTTTAGAAGAGTAATAATTTACAAAAGAACATTATCCTATTAATGAACGGGCATTTTAATTCTAGTAAAGTCAAACTCAAATTTGGAATAATTTGTAATTTTTAAGAAATATACAGTAGTTTTACACACGCGCGCGCGCGCACGCGCGTGCACTTTCTTCCACAAACATCAATAATTTTACCGAAATTTCAGGGGTTTTTTTTGTTTGTTTGTTTTTTAAGTCATACATTACACTCACTCATTGTACTTTATACATTAGATTCCCCACTGTGGGTCATTCTGTGTCTAGCTAGATCCTTTCTTTGTTGGTGGGTAGGCCACCTGAAATAAATTTCTCACATATTATATCTGGAATAACAGGGTAAAGATATGAGAATAATTTTAAACAAAAACATCTGGCACAGAAACTATGATATTGATGTAATTATTCCCATTTCTGAGATTTCCTGGTTTTTCAATAGTTGGATATTAATCTGAACGAGCTTTTCAAAACCTGAGTATCAACTCCTCTTCTTTACACCTAAAGCTGACCTGTGCAGTCCCAGCTGTCAGAGAGCCCTGCCACAGGTGGGGGCGACACCTCCGCAGCTGGCAGAGGCCAGGCTTCTGGGGGACTCACTGGAGGAGGGGCTTCCCCTCTGTAACTGTGGACCCTAAGGGCACGCTTTCCACCTGATCCCCCCAATCAGGAGCTTCAGCTACTTTCCTTTCTTCCTTCATCTGGTTGGGTATAATTATCCCTAACACAGGTAAAACAGCACCAGAAAAAGCGATGGAGATCCTAAACATGGCTTGGTGTTCTTACTCTGGGTTTTTGTTTGGTGGTTTGCTCCTTTCCCCCTGCAGTCCCTGCTTGGAAACCCCACTAGATAGCAAGTCAGTCTATATACAGGAGGGGTGGTATGCTGGGGTCGTCTGATTGGGCCGGTAAAGAACTCAGATACCATTACAGTAAGTACAAAACTCACCTAAGTTAGCTGAAAATCTCCAGTTCCATGAGATTTCAAGTATTTGCAATTCCAAGTACAGATTAACAGAAGAATCAAACCAGAAGATAATTTAGCAAGGGTATCAGTCGAACATTATATTACCAAAGCTTAAAAGAAAACTTTCTGGGAGTTCTTTTATCCCCTGTCAAATGAGCTTTCATTTTTGTCTTTGAACTCAGAGCCTTTAGGGTGTAATGTGTACTGAGGAACTCCTCCGAGAGCGCATTCAATCCCAGTTAGTTTCATCTTCTCTCCAGCGGAGAGTGGTTCTTCTGCCGGCCCGGCACCCGTTCCCTGCTCTGCTGGTGGCAGCACCCCAGTGTCTCTTCAGGTATCTGTCTACTTCCCCGCCTTCACGCCATGTGACCTGAGAGGCAGGGACACAGGACCCAGGCTTGGCCTCTACAAACCTGGTTTCCGGTCTGGCCAGTTACGGGTAGGCACGCAGCCTAAGCTGGGCCACAGTCAGCCCTGGGACTTTTGCTGGAACTACTAGCAAAATCATCAGAACTACCTCTGCGAAGCGGATAACTAAGACTAGAACTGCTGGGGAAATTAACTGAGGAGAAACCTGACTGATGAAAACAAGTAGAGTCCTGAGAATTTGCTTTTGAAAAGAAAGGAAAACACCAAGTTTTTGCTCTGAAAGTTTTGCCTGGGCCATTTATAATATGCTAAGTTATCTAAGTTTTAGTTAAGAGGTATTACACTGAACTTCTGAAAGCTTTGAAACTGAGAATCTGGAACTGAATTATAGTCCCAGTTTTTCCTAGAGCAAAATAATCCTCATCAGTTGCTGGCAGAGTCAACTGAGTTATAATACACAGTAATCTACTCTGTAAATCATAAAGCACTATATATTAATATTATTTTTTTATTACAATCTGAAAAAATATCTGCCTGGTGAACCTCAAAATACATGACGCTTTTAAAAAAATGTTATTTATTTACTTTCAGAGACAGGGGAAGGGAGGAGGAAAAAGAGGAAGAAAAACATGGATGTGAGAAACACTGTTTGGTTGCCTCTTGCACACTCCCAACCAGGAACCTGGCCTGCAACCCAGGCATGTGCCCTGACTGGGGATCAAACCAGCAACCTTTCGGTTCACTAGCTGGTGCTCAATTCAACGAGCCACACCAGCCAGGGCAAAATATATGAAACTTTTCATGGAACAGAATAATGCAGAAAGCTTTTCAAGTTTTTCTCAAAAATTCCTATAAGTCGTCACGGTGCAGAATAAGCAGCCATCAGTTTGTGAAAATCACCGGAGGCATCAATGTTTTTTTTAAGAATAAGAGGAAATATTTAGGGATGCTTAATTGCTGAAACCTTGCTCCAAGATGATACTAATAAAACTTCCGTGAATAACTAGGACAGGCCAGAGGCTGAAGTTCCTTAAGCATGTACGATGACCTCTGAGGACAGCCCTACATTGAAAAGAGTATTTCCTTCCCACTACTGTCAAAGAAATCAGCAGGGGTGACGAATCCAGAAATGAGGAAGGACAGACGTTGGTAAGGGGAACTACTGCAAGAGAGATGCTCTAGGAGGCTGGAGGAGGGGAAAGGCAGGGGGGAGGGGCCCTGGAACTTACCTGAGCTGCATACTGCAGGGCAGCCAAGTGCAGGGGGAAATTTTTGTGGTGAGGTACATGGGGCGGGTGTCTCAACTCAAGATGAAGCAAAAAAGCTACAGTGCTGAGGTTTTCTGAAAATTAAGCCTAATTGTCCTACTCAAAATAGCCTAAAGCAAGCATAAAATTTGATTAGCCTTGTCGGATGATATTATGTATCCTATCTCTTTCAAAAAAGTATCTAAATTGAAAGAAAATTAAAAACCTCATTTGGGAATCTTGGTGGTTTGATAGTAGTAATAAAAGTGACAGGTTTACACTAATGTTTTAGGTATCTTTTAACACTGAAAGTTTCACAGGTCCATGAAATTGGGCTCAGAGGTGTTACCAGCAACTCATATGATGTATAGTTATAAAATGCCTGCTTAGAGTCACAAACCGTTTTAGAAGCTAATGTTTTATTTAACATTACAAATCTGATATGAAGAGGTTGAATAAAAATGCTCTGGAAAACAAATAAAGGTAAAGCTATTAAAAGAATCACTCCAGAACAAAATTTAACAGACCAGCTAAAAACACCACTGAATTCAATTTTAATTTATATGATGTGTGTTTGATGAATTAACCTACAACTGAAAATGATGAACAATAGTTTTATATGCTGACTGCCTGGATAAGCAAGGTGCTTTACTTGGCTTTCTGTCAATTTGAGGAAAAATTTCTCCCTGGGTAAATACAGAAACATGAAGGTAAAAAACATCCTACTACCCACAGGCAACTCCAGACAGAAAATTTAGTTCGATTAAAAACCATCTGAAGTGCTGAGCAAAAATTTACTTTGAGCAGAAATTCCAGAGAATTCTAGTTCAACTCCGGAATCAAGACACAGGTGACACCAGACTACAACTGGTGTCTTTTGGAGAGACAGTGTCCAAGAGGAGCACGCTTAGCTAGTTACGCCAGCTCACAGGAAACGCCTCACTTCGGTCCCGCAATCACAAATGCCGACTTCTCCCGTTTCCTATCTTGGAAACTCTGGTGGAACACTGTGGGGCTCTCCAGGAGCCTGGGTGTTTGGCAGGGAACCCCGTTCGCTGCCTGGACGGGGGGGCCCTGGGCACGGATTTGGAGGCTCCCTCGCAGATGCCATGTGATTTCACTGGGGACTCTGCTTCTCTGATTCCTGGCACTCCCCATCGCCTTCACTCTTGAGTGACTTGCGCACATTCTGCTTTGGAACTGCAGCCCCCGGTTAACTAAGGTGCCTTCTTGTTTTTGGGACATTACAAAGCTCTGTCTGGCAGAATGGGGTGGGGAGGCACCTCCATTCCGGGAAAACAGTCCTTTCAGGCGAATGCTGGCTGACTGGTCGGCCTTGGCTTACAAACTTAAGAAAATGGTTTTTCATTGTAATACTGCTTAGCTTATGTATAACCTGGACTCAGAAGAGCGCTGGCTGCTGAATGGGTATTTAAACTACTGTACTATACTGCAATTAGGAGTTGTTTTGTCAAAGATCATGGAAACGGGAAAATAGTCCAGAGGAGAGGGAATCGCCTGTGGCAGAGAGCGGCAGCTCAGGACAGAGGGATGGGAATGGCAGGGTGGCTGCGGCGAGCATGGCCCCGCTTCCCACGGCCCCTCCAGCCCTGGGGGTTCTCCTCCTCACTCGGCCGAGGGAGCCAAAGCAGTGAGCCCGCACTGGCCTCTCCGTGCTGAACCCATCAGGGAACCAAATTCAGCAGAGGACAAGCCCCTACTGGGGCAGGGCAATCACACTGCAAAGGAAACGGGCGCTGGAAACATGAGAGCCCAAGTGAAGGAAAATGAAGCCAGAGCCTGAGACGCTGGGTAAAGCTGATGGTGGGAGGACACACTGTAGACTTTCATGACTGATACTGGAGTGACATATTCCGTGATCAACAGACCGCTAACTAAACTGTAAAACTGGGATTTCTGGACACCCTGGAAGCCAATTTTTCTTGAAGCCATTAGAATGTGCTGTGGGATATATGGTTTTCCTCTCCCTGGAAGGGATTTGTTGTCGAAACTCCATGTTCAAATCACTTTCTCTCCAAAAGAACAGTTGCACCTACAGGTCCCTTCAGAGCACACTCGGCAGTTCCTTATGAAACCATGGGAAGGAGGAAAGCAACCCTGGACAGAAGAAATTGCGAATCAGGTAAACCCCATTGTGTGGGCGGCTGGAAGGCCGAGGAAGGCTAAGAGATCCTCCCCTGTGAAAGCTGACCTCAAACCAGCAGCAGGGAGCAGGGACTCTCAGTAAGAGGCAGTGTCTCTTGCGAAAGGAGGCCCTAGAAGGAATATGCCCAATAATTCAGAAGTTTCAGGAATATGGACTCATTTGGTACTGCTGCTCCCTGTAAAACACAAGATTTAAGGGCCACAAAGGATGTTGTATGTAGCAGTACACCCGGGGACAGCCTCTGGTTTTCAGTATTGGACTTAAAACATGCTTTCTTTTGCATTCTGGTTGACCAACACTCTCAACTGTTGTTTGCTTTTGAATGGCAGGACCTGGAATATCAGGTCAAGACTCAGTACTGCTTGACAGTCTTATCACACGGGTTCAAGAACTCCCCCATGATTTTTGGGGAGATCCTGAGCCAGGACTTAAAAGGTCCAAAACTAGAAGGAGGAACTGTTATAATACGTACATGCATCATCTAACTAATATGACAGCTACCTTGAACCATCTGGCATCTTGCAGCTATAAATTATCAGCACAGAAGGCCCAGAGTTGCCAACAAGCAATGAGGTCTCTTAGGTTCCTGCTTAAACCTGGCAGAAGTCTTATCGGGCTTGTCAAACAAACTAGATCACACTGTCCAGGGGTGGCCAGCCTGCGTGAGAGCTGGCTACCTGCAAGCTTCTACAGGAAACTGACGAGTTTTCCTTGGGAAGGTAGAGCAGATGAATCACATCTTGAGGAAAATTAGAGCCAAACTGTGTCCAGAAATTCATCTCCATTGGAATCAAGTATTACATATCGCCCTGCACAGAATAAGGCTCTTTGAAATGGAATTCAATTGAGTCCTTATGAAGCTGTGTACGGGCATCCATCTTAGGCTATGATTGGATGAAAAGATGTGTATATAGATCAAGAAGTGAAGGTACAGAACTATGTACCACATTTAAGTCAGACTCAGCTGTGATTCATGACGTTCGCTGTATTAGAGAGCTCTTCCCCACAGGTTTGCTACATTCCTTTGAGCCTGGAGATAGGTGTTACTCGACTTGGAAGATAGGTCTCAGAAAGCCAACTGGAACCTAAGTCGAACAAACTTTCACTTCATGTCTTGTAGGCATTTGTACTCCCCTGGGAACCTATGACAGCTCTAAAGGACAAGGAGACATTTTCTTTAAAACACTAACGTAGCCCCACCTGGAAAATGCACAACTGTTGTCAGCTGCACTGAAAACTGTTTTAGATGGATTGCAACACCACCACTAATGTACCGTCTGCCTTTAGTCATCAAACAGCCTGCAGAATGGTTTCTAATATATGGAAAGACTGTTTATTCAACAGCAAAATTATTTTTAAATGATCTTACCTGCTTTTATGTTGTTTTAGTTTGTATTTAATTAAACTGATCTTATTGAAATAAGATGAATAAAAACTAACGGCAGGGGGAAAATGATAGGGGAACTCAGGGTTAAAGATTTTAGCCTTAGCTATAGTTGGTAGGCGTAAGTGACTCATGCCCGTGGAAGTGGTTACTGCAGGAACTGGAATGCAGAGCTGGAATGTATGTGACTCCAGGAAGTTGACTAGGAATTCAACCTTTGTGCCCCAAGAAGTCTGCAAGCCATTGAGAGAGCACTTGAACCACTGTGTTCCAGGGAGGAAACGCAGATAAAGAGTTGTTGATCATACACACTGAAGACAGCAGCTGAGCAGGTGGAAGCTGAGTCACTTGCTCCTGGCCCCAACCTGGATTTTCAGCTGAACTTCCAAACAACCTGAAGAATCAACTGGATCTCAGCTGATATGAAGTTTTTCAGCCAAGAAGTACAGAGGATCCTTCGTGCCATCTGGTAAAGGGATTTTTATAAGTGGTAGAGGAAACACCCTGTGTGTGGCTCCTGTCACGGCGGAGAGACCAGACAGAAATCGCAGCTTTGGAGGTCCCTCGCCCCTCGGAGCCAGGGGCCTCCGTCCCACATGGGGATCTCCAACCTAATCAGGGATACTTAGGGGGATCCGCTGAATCTGTGAGATTCAGGCTGCACTCACAATGAGCAGAGCTTCTACTGCTGAGGCAGCCACCTGGAGAGCTCAGAACAGAGACTCAGACTGCTACAGGGACCAGGCTGCCATTGCAGGTCCGTCAAAGGCACCTACCGGCTGCAGCCAGCCATGACTGTGAGGGACATGTACATCTCACTCCTTGGGAGGGGGTTTATGCGCAGGGGGCCAACCAGTGACGCAGTGCTGCAGTGTGGGCGCTACATACAGACTTTTTCAAAGGAACTGAAATGTGGCTGGCAAGGACCCTGTGCACAGTTGCTCTACAAACAGAGTCCACACTGGAATCAGAGCAACAGAGCTCCCCCTCTTTGAACTGTGGGGCCATAAAAATACTCACAGCAATAGAGAGGGAAGGGGAAGCTGTGGGGTCTCTGGTGGCGGGATACAGTGAGGTTCCAGGACACCTGTGAAAATGAGAGATTGCAAATTCAGCGTGAAGTGCAACTGTGGTTGGGGCACCCGACACAGAAGAGTTCACTATATGAGATCAGACTAAGGGAGAAACCACACAAAAACAAAAGGGCTTCCGAGGGTGGCAGACAGCAGTGGCATAAAGGTGACCTCTGGCTGCAGGAGAGGCTCAGGGGGAGGCCACAACAGAGAACTAGTTGAGTGGTATGAGAAAAAAACCCAGCTTTCCCACTCTCAAGGCTGTGGGTGGTGCCCTGACCCCCTCCCCGCACCGCTGCGAGCAACCCCTGCTGCTGAGGCTGCGGAGAGGTACCTAGCAAAATGGGAAAGTAGTTTTTTGGCCCATTCTAAACTTTTCTCAGCTGTGCCAAGACTCACTGGATCTTCAGGTCCTTTCCCACTGAGACCGGTTGGGCAGAGAGATCAGAAATTTGTGTAACCAGGGATTTTTGAGATCTGCCTAGCTCGGCTTGCAAGCAAACCGGGGGCTGGATGGAGCAGAGAGTTCAGGACTGTGTCTCCTACAAAGGCTGTAGGCTGTGAGTTAGAAAGGTTAAAGCTGAGTTCCTGGGATACTTTGCAGCAGGCAAACCTACTCACAGCCTGCAATCCCCTGGGAAGGGAAGGGAATGCCCATTCCCCTCCTGCAGGGTTGCAGGCATGACCTCCAAAGGGGGAACCGCAGATCAGGTCTGCTAGGTCCAAGATGCCCCCACTGGGTGCATTTCCAAAGGAGGAAGAAAGAAAAACTTTGAACAGGGACTTTAAACTGTGAGACTTTTAGGGGATATCACCTGGGAACTGGACAGAGAGCTTTGCTGAGGTCTTAGAATGAGAGAGTTGAGCCCCGACCTGAGGTCTGGTCTTGCCCGAACCCCAACAGGAGGCTCCCTTGATCTACCCGTGAAGTCCAGAGCTGCTGAACTCACTCCTGCAAAGGGAAAAGTTGAATGTACCCATCCCGAATCAGCAGTGAGTGGCCCCCGAGGAAGCAAGTGCCGGAGGCTCTGGCAAAGACTGGAGGGGTTGGCTCTAAGTAGGGGCCACTCTCCCCTCACTGAGGACCTTACAGACTGCAGGGCCAACAAAGTGGAAGTCTGCTAGTCCTGGTATCTACTTACAGACCCTCATCAGAAGGCTCTGGAGAAAAACCAGGCAACCTCAGTGAAGGGCAGAGTGGCTGAAAGAGGCCGACCTCAGGGAGTCTCAGCTCCTTTCCAGGGCTGCCATCAGCTCCAAGCAGGAAGAAGCTGACTCTTTTATACAGACTGGCCCCTCACATGCACAAGCAGGTCCAGTGAACACAGAAAGGAGCAGCGAACAGCCTGGCAGCTGCAGAGAGATAGCCTAGGGCCAGATTCACCCATTGTCTAAAAGCTACCTTTTCCTGAATCCCACCCAACTGGACCAAGAACCAACAAAACCAGTGGTGGCCTTCCGCCCACACCAAAGCCTGAACCAACTAGTCACACATTCAGTACACCCCAAGGGGGACTGCTGCAGGCTCCAGACCCTGCTGGGAACAACGCCTCATCAAGGGGCAGCAACCACACAACATTCCACACACGGTCTATGGTTTCTCCTACGGTCTCCCCAACTGAAGGGATAACTCTACCCACAAAAGAGGCACCAGCATTTAAGATGCAACTACAACAAGGGTGTCAAAGAACTCAAAAGAAACACTCCTGGACCACAGAGTTCAGGTGTTCCTAAGGATTGGGCAACTAACCCCAGCAAGACACCTATATCATAAAACAAGCAAAGTAGGTTCAGAAGACATAGCACACCTACCAAACACAGAAATCAAATGGGGTAACAATGAAAAATGCCCCAAACAAAACAACAGAAATCCCTGCAAAAAGAGTTAAAAGATACAGATGAAATGGAAGCAACACAAATACCAGGTGCAGAGTTTAAAATAATGGTTATAATGATACTCAAAGACCTTATGGGAAAACTAGATGATCTCAGTGAGAACTTAAGTAGATAGTAAACATTAGGATATAGAAACCCTAAATAAGAACCAGTCAGAAATGAAGATTACAGTATCTGAAATGAAGAATTTGCTTGAAGGAATCAATACTAAGTCAGTTGAAGCAGAGGATCGAATCAGTGAATTAGAAGACAAGATGACAGTATCCACTCAAAGAGAAAATGAAAAAGAAATGAGGAAAGCCTCAGGGACCTTTGGGACAACATCAAGTGTAACAACAGCCGCATCACAGGAGTGCCCGAAGGAAATGAGTGTGAGAGAGGGATAGAGGACCTGTTTGGAAATGTAATGGCAGAAAACTTTTCCAACCTGGTAAAGGGAAAGGGCACACAAATCCAGGCAGCACAGAGTGTACTGATAAAGATGAACTCAAAGAGACCTACACCAAAGCACATCATAATTAAAATGGCAAAGCTTGAAGGCAAAGAGAGAGTTTAAAGGTAGCCTGGGAGACAGTCAGTTACATACAAGGGCTACCCCATTAGAATCTAAGCAGATTTCTCAACAGAAACATTACAGGCCAGAAGAGAATGGCAGGAAATATTCAGAGTAATGAAAACTACGAACATGCAGTCTAGACTGCTCTACCCAGAAAGGTTATCATTTAAAAACTGAAGGCCAAATAAAGAGTTTCCCAGACAAAGTAAGTTTAAAGGAGTTCATTACCACCAAACCAGCATTGCAAGCAATGTTAAAGGACATTCTGTAATAAGAAATTGAAAAACATACATACAATATTAAAAATGGCAATAAGTACTTATCTATAACCTTAAATATAAATAGATTAAATGCTCTACTCAAAAGACACAGAGTAGCCAAATGGATAAGAAAGCACAACCCATACATATGCTATCTATGAAAGACCCACCTCAGAGCAAACAATCTCCACAGGCTGAGAGTAAAGGGATGGAAGAAAATATTCCACACAAATAGAAACAAAAAAAAAGAAGTGGGTGTAGCAATCCCTATATCTGAAAAAACAGTCTTCAATACAAAGGCCATAAAAAAAGATAAAGAAGGTCGCTTCATAATTCTTAAGTGTTCAATCCAACAAGAGGACGTAACCCTTTTAAACATATATGCACCCGATACAGGAGCATCTAAATATCTTTTAAAAATCTTGGTGGACCTTAAGGAAGATAGAGACAACAATACTGTCATAATAGGGGATTTTAACATCCCACCATCAACAACGGACAGATCTTCCAGACAAACTATCACAATATAGCAGCATTAAATGACACAGTAGATCATATGGATTTAATTGATATTGACAGAACATTTCACCCCAAAGTAGTATATACCTTTCTTCTCAAATGCACATAGATCATTCTCAAAGACAGACTACATGTTAGGCCACAAAACAAGCCTAAACAAACCCAAGAAAATTGAAAAGATATCAAACATTTTCTCCAATAACAATGGCATGAACACCAATAAAAAGATTCAAAGACATTCAAATACTTGAAGACTTAATAGCATGTTATTAAATAATGAAGAGGTAACCCATAAGGTCAAGGAGGAGATCGAAAAACTGGAAACAAATAAAAATAAATACAAAACAACCCCAATTCTATGGGACATAGTAAAAGCAGTCCTGAGAGGGAAATTCATAGCCCTTCAGGCTTACCTCAAGAAACAAGAAAAATCTCAAATAAACAATCTAAACCTGTACCCAAAAGAACTAGAAAAGCAAAAACAAAGTCCAGGGCAAGTTGAAGGAGGGAAACAATCAAGACTAAAATGGAAATCAATGACACAGAGACTAAAAAAACAAATATAGGAGATTAATGAAACCAGGAGCTGGTTCTTCAAAAAGATAAACGAGATTGACAAACCTTTAGCCAGACTCTTCAAAAAAAATAGAGGGCCCACATAAATAAAATCAGAAATGAAAGAGGTAAAATAATAACTGATATCACAGAAACACAAGGTATTATAAGAAATTACTATGAACAACCAAATACCAAGGAATCAGTAATAAAGCAAAAGAGATTCAAACTGTATCATTAATACATAAATTAATAGCTATTGAACTTATATCCTGCAAAGATTCTTTCTTAAGTGTCTGTGACTTTTACAAAACTGATCATATACCAAGACCCAAATCAAACTCTAGTGAATTCCAAATAGTAGGAAGTATACAAGTCACTGTCTCTGACCAAGTCAACCTGGGCAAAATGGACAAATTTCTGGAAACATACAATCTCCCAAAACGGAATCAGGAAGAAGCAGAAAACCTGATTAGACTGGTAACAATGAATGAAACTGAGGCAATAATCAAAAACTCCCAACACGTAAGAGCCCTGGACCAGGCTTCGCAAGCGAATTTTGCCAATCACCCAAAGAACTGTGACCAATTCTTCTCAAACTATTCCAAAAAATTCAAGAGGAGGAAAGACTTCCAAGTTCTTTCTATGAAGCCAGTATTATCCTAGTTCCAAAACACAACAAAGAAAGAAAATTATAGGCCAATTTCCCTGATGAACATAGATGCTAAAATCCTAAACAAAATATTAGCAAACCAGATTAAGCAATATATCAAGATCATACACCACGATTAAGTGGGAGTTATCCCAGGAATGCAAGGTTGGTACAATATTTGCAAATCAATAAATGTGATTCATCACATAAACAAAATGAAAGATAAAAATCACATGATCATGTCAATACAAGTAGAAAAAGGATTTGATAAAATCCAGCACCCATTCATGATGAAAACTCTTAGCAGAGTGGGTATAGAGATCATACTTCAACATAATAAAGACCATATATGAAAAACCTACTGCTAACATCATTCTCAGTGGCCAAATCTAAGAGGGTTCCCACTAATGTCAGGAACAAGACAGGGATGTCCGCTTTCATCACTCTTATTCAACATAGTACTAGAAGTTCTAGCCACAGAAATCAGATAAGAAATAAAAAGCATACAAATTGGAAAGGAAAAAGTAAAGCTGTCATTATTCACAGACAACATGACATTGTACATAGATGGCCCTAGAGACTCCACCAAAAAACTACTAGAATATATAAATTTGACAAAGTAGCAGGATACACAATTAATACCCAGAAATTAATGACATTTTTATACACCAATAACAAGGTACCAGAAAAAGAAACTAAGAAAACAATTCCATTTACTATTGTAACAAAAAAAAAAAAAAAAAAAAGGTACCTAGGAATATATTTAACCACAGTGGTAAAAGATATGTACTCTGAAAACTATAGGCCCTGCTGAAGAAAGAAATCAAGGAAGATACAAGTAAGTGGAAGCATATACCATGTTCGAGGATGGAAGAATTAACATCATTTAAATGGCTACTCTACCAAAAGCAATCTACACATTCAACGCAATTCCTATTAAAATACCAATGGTATACTTCACAGAACTAGAACAAATACTCCAAAAATATATATGGAACCAAAAAAGACCCTGAATAGCCATAACAGTCTTACAAAAGAAGAACAAAGCTGAAGATATCACGAATCCTGATATCAAACTATACTATACGGCTACCGTAATAAAAACAGTACTGGCACAACAGACATATAGATCAATGGAACAGAACAGAGAGCCCAGGAATAAATCCATGTCTGTGTGAGCAACTGATATTTGACAAGGCAGCAAGAGCATACAAAGGCAGTCTCGTCAATAAATGGTGTTGGAAAAATTGGACTGGTACATGCAAAAAAAATGAAACTAGACCACCAACTTACACCATACACAAAAATAAACTCCAAATGGATGAAAGATTTAAATGTAAGTTATGAAATCATAAAAATGCTAGAAGAAAATATACGGAATAAAATCTCAGATATTCAATGTAGAAATATTTTTGCCACTCTACCTCCTAAAGCACTGGAAACAAAGCAGAAAATAAACAAATGAGGCTATTTCAAATTAAAAAGCTTCTGTACAGCAAAAGAAACCATCAGCAAGATGAATAGGGACCTCATTCTATGGGAGAACATTTTTGCCAATGATACATCTGACAAGGGTTTAATCTCCAAAATATAAAAACAATTAATACAATTCAATGCCAGGAAGACAAACAACCCTATTAAGAAATGGGCAAAAGACCTAAATAGACACTTCTCCAAAAAAAACATAGAGTAGCTCTAGATATATGAAAAAATGTTCAACATCATTAATCATCAGAGAAATGCAAATTAAAACCTCAGTGAGATATCACCTTACATCTGCCAGACTGGCTACCATCAATAAACCAACAAGCAAGTGTTGCTGCAGTGGCGTAGAAAAGGCAACCCCAGTGCACTGTTGGTGGAATGCAGATTGGTGCAGCCACTCTGTAAAACAATATGGGGATACCTCAAAAAATTAAAAATGGAACTCCCTTTTGATTCAGCAATTCCACTTCTGGGAATTTACCCCAAGGATTCCAAAACACCAACACAAAAAATACATGCATCCCTACGGTTATAGCACCACTATACAAAAGCTAAGATTTGGAAACAGCCTATCAGAAGATGAGTGAACAAAAAAGCTGTGGTACATTTACACAGTGGAATACTATGCAATAATAAAAAAGAAGCAACTTTTATATTTTGCAACAGCATGTAGAGACCTGGCGAAAATTATGCTAAGTGAATTGTGCCAGTCAATGAAAGAAAAATAACACATGATCTCCCTTATATGTGAAATCTAACGAACACAATAAACCAAGGAACAAAATAGTAACAGAAGCTTAGAGTCATAAAACAGACTGACAGCTGTCAGTAAGGAGGGGCGGGTGGGGGTGGGATGAAAGTTGGTGAAGGGATTAACCAAAGAACATTTACGCACAACCCATGGACAAGGACAACAATATGGGGGATCGACTTGAGATTTCAAAGTGGAGAGGATGGGGCTGGGTGGAGGCAGGGAAAGGGAGAAAAAGTGGTAACAACCGTATTGGCATAAACAATAAAAAAAATTTTTAAAGCAATCGATGGAATTATTTTAAAAAAGAATTATTGATCACCAGATAAAGAATTACCAGGAAAATCACAGCAATTCTTAACCCATTAACCTTTTTTTCCAAACCCCTTACCTACTCTTCCTTCTCCTTATAAAAAGGCTGGCTTAGGATGAAACGTTAAGACAGTTTTTGAGGGTACGCAACCCGCTGTCTTCTGAGATCACTGGCATCTGAATAAAATACCCATAAAGACTCAATCCTTGTCTCTGCTTATTGGTCCTGGTAGTGACAGACAGCATGAACACGGACTTTTCTTTTTTCAGTGGGATATAAAGTTATGGAAGAGAATTAGAAGGGATTCTTTTTCCTTTTTCTGAATTTTGCAAATCCATCATGAAAGTAGGGAGGGGTTAAGATCGCAGATGAGGAGACAAACAAAGGCAGACAAATAAATGCAAGTGAAACTTTCAGAAAGAATGAAAAATAAACTTTCATATGCCCTTAGTCTATTAATATGGCGCTATAATTCCCAAACAACAAAGACGAAAAACTCATCAACAAACTTTAAGCAACAAAACTGAAGAGGCAGGAGAGTCAACGAGAGCACTTTAAGAAACTGGGACCCAGGGAGATGAAGTTAAGAGATGGGATAGGACACAGTACATACTACTTCGCACTGTGTTATTTACAGTTAGGTTACAGTATAACCTGTAACTGAACGCGCCAGGCACTTCAGTCATATTTGACTCGCCCTTGCCACCCTAAACACTCAAATTATCCTTATTAGCAATAAAAAGTCAAATTATTTCAAGTGCAATGGGCCGGCTTGGAGGTGCAAGGCGGTCAACAGCCTAGCAGTTCCAACTGGCCGGCCTCCACCCACGGCAGGAGGGCGCCGAGAGTGGGGGCGGGGGCGGCCAAGTCTAGAGGGTCTGCCGACAGTGTTTCCTTTTTTCTGAGGCTGGGGGTGCTCAGCCAAGCGAGGAGCCCCCAGCGCTCAGGACCGCCCGGCCTAGGCCCCACCGCGCAGCCCGGACCCCTAGTAATCCCCTCGTCCGGGCCGTGCTGCCCAGCCCGGGCCGACCCGCCCCCAATCGCGAGGAACCGCTTACCGCGCGCCAGCGCCTACGAGGAAGGGCTGCCAGACTACCAACCAGGCGACGGCGTCACCATCGAGCCTAACAGAGAGAGCGGCTCTTCTGACTTCCGGAGGACGCGAAAGGGCGCCGGAAGTCTAGGGGCGGGGCAAAGGCGTGGTCCCCTAAGCTAATGGCGGGTCTGTTACCGGTATTGGGCCGGATCCTGAGGATTCCGGGTGGTCAGCTTTGGCTTCACTTGCCTCGCGGTTTCGGGGTTTGGGGCCAAGCAGCTGGGACCGAGAGGGTCTTAGTGAGGCAACTCTGCGCGCAGCGAGAGAACCGGTGGCGGGCCTCAGGGCTCGTAGGCAGCTTCCTGGGATGCCGGCTGCTGGGCACCGCCATGCCGCCACCCCCGGGGACATCAGGACCCGAAGGGAAAGGCCGCGGAGACCCCACGCGCCCCTCGCAGCCCGGGGTGAGTGCACACCTGGAGCAATTGCTTTCCTCATCGCGGCTGTCAGACCACCCTGTGGTCTTCCCATCCCACTTGGTCGCAACTTCAGAAGTCACTCGGTCTGGCCTTAAATTGTCCGCGGTCAGCCGGCTTACCTGGGTCAAAGCGTCAGGTATTCTTAGAGGTCTCTACCTGACATCAACCATTATTGAGGAGTCAGAGCAGTTTTATAATGTCTGACATTTGGGTCCCCATTAGAGGTTCTGTGTACCGCTGAAATTGTGCAAAATAAGGACCATAATTGCATGCCGGGTATGCCTTTTTGTTTTGTTTTGTTTTATTTGTTTCTGTCAGATTCTAGTCCTGACCCAAAAAGACAAAAGCCACTACCTTCTTCTCGTTGATAGGTAAGAGAAGTGGTTTTCGGAGCTGGGAGAGAAGGTTAACGAGTTAGGCCCAGGTGGCCGACATCTTACTTTGGGACTTAAAAAGAGTACAAAGAAATAACTTGATGCAACTTGCAAGAAGCTCCACTTTTAGATCTCGTCTACCTTGCCTTTATTACTTTGAAAGCCAGAGTTGGTTTAACCTAGATTTTATTTGGTTTATTTTTATTCACGATATCAGCCCAAGCAGGTAATTTACTGGTTTTTAAACCAGCAATTGGAATCACGGTCACACGTAATAACAGTCAGGGTGTTTGAGCTTTGAGTCGTTTTTTTCCACGGGAAAAGAAATTGACTTAGCAAACCTTCCCAGGGAAACACATCTTTTCAGTTGTGTTAGGAGCCCAGATGCAACCGCATCCACAGAAACTTTCAGTGTTTTCTCACCCTAAATAACATGAAACGTTCTGCACATTTAACAATATCAAGGCCTCTCTGTATATATATATTCAAAACAACAATATAAGTTTAGTATGAGTAAATGCTTGCATGGTACTAGTGTTTTTATTTTTGAAATTTCTGACCCAGTAGCCTGTTTCCTGGAAGTCTTTAGCAGTCACATTTGCTATCGGAGGAGCGTTACTGGCAGGGATGAAGTACTTCAAGAAAAAGAAGATGGAGAGTAAGTAGATGTCATTTGGTCAGCTCAGCTCTGAGTAAAATCCTTCCTAGGTACAGACCAGCATCTTTTTGTTATTTTTAGTCTTTTTGCCTTGGAATAATTTTAGATTTGCCAAAGAGTTGTAAATATGGCATAGAGATTTCCCATATACCTTTCACCTAGCTTCCCTTAATGTTAACATGTTATAGAACCACAAACACTAAGAAGTTAAAATTGGTGTGATACTACTCACAAGCCCCACACTTTATTCAGATTCCACCTGTTTTTTGTGTTGCCTTCTATCTGTTCCATGATCTCCTCCAGGATAGCACTGTCCAGCAATATGAAATGACTTACTTTTGGACAGATTTGAGTGTGGGTAGTCTGGGGTCCAGAGGGTACAGAGAGGACTAAGATGCAGCCCAGCCATTGAGACCTACCTGTGATAGGGAAAGAGACTCAGAAGATTTTACTAGATGCGGTTCTGTCAGGCCAGGGGGAAGTTCAGGGGCTCTGGGGGCCAAAGGGAGGCCCAGCCTTCGCTGTAAACCACGGAGCGTCCGCAGAAGGAGAAGGGCCAGAGGCTGACACTGCAGGCGGGGCAGAGGGAGGACCGCGGGCAGGAATGCTGGAAGCCGCTTTGGATAGACACTCGAAGTATTCAGAAAGTGTTACAGGAAGTTTATATTTTAGTGACTATTTTAGGACTTAAAAGTTTTGGCTTAGACATTTTCTGTAAATCTTTAGAAGTATCACTTAAGTCTGTTTTGATTACTTCAGAGTCTCTTTTGATGCCCTTAGACCAATGATAATGTTTAAATCTGGGAGTGAGAATTCATAGGCTTTAGAACCTTAGCAGTGTAAGATCCATAGTGGTCCTTTGGTATACCCAGCAGTATTTTGTTATGACTTTCATATTGTAATAAACAGTTAAGTTCCTTTAGATTCACAATGAAACAAAACTTAAAACCCAGGAAGGTGGTCATAGAGTCACAGAAAATGCAAGCTTCTTTTGACTTCAGTTTGGAATTTCACCTAAGATTAATAACATTTTTTATTAAAAATGTATTATGATACAATATTCAAAGTGTTCCTAAATCATTTGAGAATATTTGCTGACATGACGCCTCATCATCTCCAAATAGTTTATTGTATACTTCTCCAACATAGTCACAGTACAGCCATCAAACTCAGGAAAAGAACATTTGATATGTTACTACTGTTCAATGTTCAGACCTCATTCAAGTTTTGCAGCTTGAAGCCTTTTATAGCAAAAGTTGTCCAGAACCACACCTGATACCTGGTTGTTCTTAGGGTCTCCTTCAATCTGTAACAGGTTTTCAGTTTTTACTTGACTGTAAAACCTGGTATCAGCCATTTCTCTAAAAAACCCCATTTCATTTTTGTGGAGGATGGTACCTAGAACTCAGGGTATTAGTTCATTGTTATTGAGATAAGTCTGCCATCATGTACTCTCAGTAGAGAAAGCTTTGAAGGGGCCGGCGGAGACGGACACACACACACACACCCCCACCCCCTCGCCCCCCAGTTGTTTTTTTTTTCTGGAACTGCAAGTTTCGTTCTAGTTTCCTTTCTTTCCATTGGTCTAACTCCGTGTCTGTTTGTGACCCTCTCATCTCTAATATAGCTAAGATCCCGTTGCCGCTGCCCCGCCCCGTGCGCTGCCGTGCGCGCACTCAGGCTCGGGCTCCTCCGCCAGCCCGCGCTCCTTGCCCGCTCGGGCTCAGACATCCTGCTCGGCTGTGTCCCCGTCCCACCCCCGTCATGGCACACCTGTTGGCTCAGGTCTGAATTGTTGTAGAAAAAGGAATATTTTTACCACTTTCCTTACAGTGTTTACTATATGATGTAGCATTTAATTTGATTAATTTAATTTTATTGTTTTAAGCTTATTTTCCTTAAAAGAATTTTTAAGCTTCTTGAAAACTGAGACTATTTCTTCTACATTTTACACATAGTCATTAGCATAGTATGGATGATCTGTCTGGCATTTGAGTGCCTGTGGTTACATCGACATTTTTTTATGTGGTGTGCGTATTCATGTCTGTTTAAGAGCTGGAGAAGGAACGGCAGCGAAGCATCGGAAAGCCTCTGCTTGGGGGACCGTTTTCCCTCACAACTCATACCGGAGAGCCAAAAACCGACAAGGACTACCTGGGTCAGTGGGTGCTGATTTATTTTGGTTTCACTCATTGCCCTGATATTTGTCCAGAAGAACTAGAAAAAATGATTCAAGTCGTGGATGAAATAGGTAAGAAAGTCATCACTTGTACATATGTTTACTTAATGTTGCTATGCTTTTCAGTTTTATATTACTGTTGGGTGGAGGGTCATAATTACTTGGTTTGTCAGAACATAGAATCTCAGTGTTAGGTTCATTTGTTGCTTAGATTCCGTGACCTGTAAGTTCTCCGCCAAAAGAAGCTTGTTATGATGCTAAATACAATATTAGGTTGCTTAACAATGTCGGTGTGGTCTGGGTCTCCCTTAACTCTGCTCCGTGTCCCTTCCTTTAATGCGGCCTTCCGTCACTGACACCGCCGCTGCCTTCTCCCAGGGGACTGTGGGCTAGACTGTGAGACCTGTGGGATGGCCCTTGATGTGCAGGCGGGGGCATTTATTAGGACCAATAAGAAGACGGGGCACATCCTTTTTAAACTGACTTGTCCAGGATATCCAATTCTTATGAATAGTTTACTCTGCCCTTGATGTTTGGTGGGCGGGGGGAGGTGGATAACCTACACATAAATACTGGATTAGGAGACAAGACGCCCGCATGGTGTGATCGAGATATCTGCATCCACGCACTGGCGCAGGTGTTTGCTGGGGTATTTATCCGATTCTGCCACAGGTAGCGGGCAGATCTGTTCCCTCTGCAGGCCGCCACCTGCTCCCGTCACGGTGGAACACCGGTGTTAGCTGCGCCGTTGTGTTTCTTCACGCCTTGCTGTCCGGATTACTACCCCCTCCTGGCATTGCCGGTTTTCTTTGTTTTTTTTCCCTTAGAATGTGAATAATGGCTTACAACTTTCTTTCAGATAATATTCCAACTCTGCCAAATTTAACTCCACTTTTCATCACTATTGACCCAGAAAGGGACACAAAAGAAGCCATCGCAAGTTATGTGAAAGGTATGTTTCATTAATAATACTGTGTATCTGTTTAGCTCTACAGTTTTTGAAAGATCAACTTATGTGACTCTTTTAATGCCCTGTGAAATAGGGAGGGCAAGTGTTATTACAACCAGTTTTATAGACCAATAAAAAGATGAGGCTCAGAGTTGTAACTGGCAAGTAAGTAAATAAATGAAAAACGGGTTTCCTAATTCCTGGTGCAGGGAGGGCTCTTTTTATTTTGTCACAGCAGATGAACTGAACTTGGCCTTCATGTGTCAACAAAGTTAACAGAGCCTTGAATTGAGAGTAAGGACACATTGCTTCTCATTCCGGCTCTGTACCTCATTCTCACCTTTGTAAACCTAGCATACATGCATTCTGGGAGCATGTACATTGGGAGATTAAAAATGAATTAGATGTAAGTACATTTTGAACTCAGCACATGTTTTATTGTATAAATCTAAAACACTCATTATGACAGAAACACATTACTGTTAATGGAAGAATTTCAATCCAAACATCTCAATATGCAAGTTAAAACCTATTAGTAGGTACTTTTAAAGGCCGTAAATTATGGTAGAGTTAAAGATGAAGACCTAGGTCTCCTGAGCTTCAGTGAGTGGCTTAATTTCTCTGGATTCAAGTTTTTTTTCAGCTGGGTGCTTAAAGACCAGGAATTTAAATTTTAATTATGGTGAAGTCTCCTTAAACTACTGGACAGAAGGACTAGTTAATAGTCTTATTTTTTTTTTTATTACATGACACATTCTAATGAACGTGTCCTCCAAAGCTTTGCAGTTATTTTTAAATTGTGTCCTGTGAAGGGCCTGCTATGTATTTTATTATTAAACAGATTTATTGAAATGTAATTGACCTAAAGTGTACATATTTAAAGTGTACAATTTGTTATGTGACGTATGTGTGCGCTGCGAACCATCACCACAGCAGCAAAGTGACCGTACGCATCAGCCCTGCAGTGTCTTCGTGCCCGCCCGCCCCCGCCTTCGGGCCACCGCTGGTCTGTTCTCTGCTGATGCAAATTAATTGGCATTTTCTAGAAATTTATGTAACAGAATTGTAGAGTATATACTCTTTTTTTTTAATGGCTTCTTTCAGTGTAATTATTTTGAGATTCATCCATGTTGTAGAATGTATCAATAGTTCATTTTTATTGCTGAGTAGTATTCAGTTTTTGACTATTACAAATAAGCTGCTGAGAACATTCAGATGCAAGTCTTTGTATGGACACGTGCTTTTATTCCCCTTGAGTAAACTACCTAGGGGTAGAGTAGCTGGATCATATGTAAAGTATATGTTTACCTTTTGAAGAAACTGACAAACTTCTTTCCCAAAGTGGTTATACATTTTTACCTCCCTCCTATCATGGGCTTCCTGGCCCCTCCACATCCTTGCCCCACCGGGCATGGTTAGCAGTCCTTTTAAGTTTAGCCACTTTCGCGGGTATTTAGTGGTGGGTACCTCATTGTGGTTTTAACAGGCATTTCCCGAATGTTAAGCATCTTTTCATGCTATTCTTTGCCATTTGAATGTCCTCCTCAGTGAAAAATGTCTCTGCCCATTTTTATGGGACTGTTTTGTTTTTTTTTTATTTCTATTTCTGATACAAGTCTTATTAGGTGTGTGATTTGCAAATAATTTCTATGTGTCTTTTCAGCCTTGTTTTTTGAAGAGCAGTTTTGCGTTTTTTTGAAGTCCAGTTTATAAGTTTGTTCTTTATAGATAATTGTTTTGGTTTTGTATGTAAAAAAAATCTTTGCGTAACCCAAGATTACAAAAACTTGTTTTCTCTTTTAGAGTTTTTGTATGTAAACGTAGAATTTCTGTCCACAGTTTGTTAGAAATTTGGGCAATAGCGTGTTTTCTAAAGTAATAAAAAGCAGGTATAACTCACTGGGTGATGAACAATCTTCAGTTGAAATGTATGTTATATTGGCAATTATTTTTCATCACATATTAACCAAACTATAAATGTCCCCAAATGAACAGCTATCTGACTTGCTGACCCTAACTAAAATACCAAGGCCTTATGGTGATATTCATCAACATCACCTGTGTACAGTAATTTATAAGTAATCATTATTAATTGTATTTTGGGGGGGATTTTTAAATATTTAAGTTGATTTAGAAAATTATTGCAATTTCGACAATTTTACAGAAGGTCTGGATGTGCACCTCAATCAGGCTTTTTTTTTTCTTTTTTTTAAGATTTTATTTATTTATTTTTAGAGAAAGGGGAAGGGAGGGAGAGAAACATAGATTGGTTGCCTCTTGCGCGCCTGCAACCCAGGCATGTGCCCAGACCTGGGAAAGAACACGCGACCTTTCTGTTGGCGGGAGGGTGCCCAGCCCCCCGAGCCACACCGCTCAGGGCCGATTCAGGCTTCTTTCACCTTCTTCTCCATTTACTCATAGAGTGGAAAAGAAGGATGAGCCATCTTGCCTCTTCAGTACCTGAACAATTTTTCACTTTAGAATAAATTAGTCCAAGGAATGATACTGGCTTTCTCCATCTTTAGTAGATGATACTGCTGTTAAATGGTGGACTATCACTCTAGTAGTCTGATGCGTCCAGGTGTTTTAAGTGACTTTTACCAGCTAACTTACATAAATTCCAAAACCTTAACAGCAAATGCATGCTATGAGATTATTTGCTGGAAAATGAGATAGATACTTTGACCTGGTATAAATGAATTATGCAGGAAACTTTTTTCTCTTACAATAAAAACTATAGTGCTTAATTCATGATTATATTTTTAAACTTTAGTGTGTCTTAGAGCTACATCTAAGTATTTAAAACAGCTAAATTAATTTAAAAATATGATTTAAATAATTAGAATATATTCCATCTTTACTAGATAATCATGAAAGGATTTGACGGATAGGTTACTAAGAACCAACTTTTGGTTTCGTTGATCTTTATTAATACACTCTTTTCAGTTCCATTTATTTCTGCTCTAATTTTTTTTTTTCCTGCTTGCATTGGGTTTCATTTGCTCTTCTTTTTGTAGTTCTCTAATGTGGAAACTTACCGATTTCAGATCTATCTTCTTCCCTGGTATACGCATTTAGTGCAGTAAACTTCCCTCTTAAGCGCTGCTTTTGCTTTGTCCCACAAATCCGGGGGAGTTGTAGTTCCATTTTCATTTTTCAAAATATTTCTTACTTGAGATTTCTTCTTTGACCTATGTATAATTTAGAAGTGTGTATATCTCCACATACTTTGGGATTTTCCAGATATTTTTGGTTACTGATTTCTAGTTGAATTCCAATGTGACTTACATATTACAAAGGAGAATCTTCATTTGTTCTCTGTAAACTTGCTTTCTTTTAAATCAGGAGGAAATGTGTAGGAACTCACTGGAAGAAAGGCAGTAGGGCCCCTTTATAACTCACACTGCGTTTTGATGGCGGCGTGGTGGTTTTCGTGTGCCACTCGCTTTTCACTGTCTTTCTCATTTTTTATTTAGAATTTTCTCCCAAACTGATTGGCTTGACTGGCACAAAAGAAGAGATCGACCGCGTGGCCAGAGCTTACCGCGTGTATTACAGCCCGGGCCCCAAGGACGAAGACGAGGACTACATAGTGAGTCATTGCCCAGGCCCGGCCCGCAGGCCCGCTGCCTGCTCCACAGGGCGTCGAGTGACGGCTGTCTTCAGGGAGGACAGAGAACCTGACGCCGTTGCAACTGCCCTAGCAGTGACAGGTGTCCGAAAGTAGAGTAGAAGTTCAGTTTTTTTTTTTTAAGGATGCTCATTTAATATGTATTCACTGTTCCCATAATTTAATTGCCTGTTTTCCTTTTTTCTAGTAACACGTAAGAGTATAGGGCAGTATAAAATCAGCGGTGCCATTTCCCTCCTAGATTTAGGGAAACTTGGATTCATGGGGAAAAAAGACAAAAATTCGCATTTTTTAAGCCCTAAGTTTAAGGAAAGAGAAACCCTGCGGCGGGTTCCTCGTGCTGCCCGTGCAGCCCAGCCCGAGGAGAAGGGGAGAGGAGCCGAGGGGAGCAGGGGCCGAGAGAGGGCGCCGTGGGAAAGGCTTCCCCACTGCCTCACTCCTGTGAGAGAGCTGCGTTAACTGCTTTTGAGTTTGAGCACTGGGATTTGTCCTGTGTACATAATCCAGATTGTGGGTATTAATTTTTTAATCTTAAATATTGAAAAGCAAGTGTTTACTTCTTATAGAGACTACTTGGACCCTCTTGAAACCATCCTAGACCCCTTTTAGAGAAATACTGGTCCCCTACTGTAAGAAGTTGACATTCGATAAGAACCAACGTGGAGTTCATTGCTCTACATTTGCCAAAGCATCCAATAGGGGGAGACACTCTCCAGCTTCTGGGTTTCTCATTAGTATGACTTCTGTCCCTTGAGGTCACAGATTTTCATCCACGAGATGGTGTAGGAAACTTCTGTTAAGATTTACGGACCTGCAAGGAGTGAGGGAATACCCTGAAGTTTGAGACGTAATGGAATGAGGCTTTCTTAATCTGCAAGCACCACGGCCAAAGGCAGGCTTCTGGCTCTTGAACGCGCTGGAACCCTCGCACTGGCAGTGTATGCGAACCGGGCGCGCCGAGCATTTAGGGTTCCACTGAAAGCTGCGTGTGCGCATCATTGCATTTTATATATGTGATACTACGTTATTTTGTACATATTAAAAACTATTTTTGACAAAGGCTATAAGTGGCTTTCAAACCTAAAGAAAAAGATGTTTAGTTTCACTCAAAAGAAATATGAATTAAGTAATGTGATACCATTTTCACCTGGTAGAGCAGCAAAGTCAGCAGTTTGAGCTATTTTGTCAAATGGATTTGGGGCGAGAGCCACGTGGTTGGAACAAGGGGCTGGTGTGTGTTGCTGGTGGGGTCGCCCTCCCCGGGGGCGGTTCGCCAGCCCATCGACGCTCCAAGTGGAACGCGCGCAAGGCTAGGGACCTTACGTTTTGGAATTTATCCTACAGACACAGCCTACAACATTGTTCATAAAAAACACTGAAAACCAAACAACCATTTTTTAAAAGGTTACTCTGTATGTACTGATGTACAACAATGTCCATATCATTAAGTGAGGAAAAAAGTATAGTTTATTGTTACTTGTGGGAAAAGAAATAGGTGGTAGGTGGTAAAAGAAACCCGTGGCTATAAACTCACACTAATAAACGCAGAGAACGTCCCCAGGAGCGTGCAGAAGGCGCCGGCAGCCAGCTGCCCCGAAGGGGAGAACAGGGGACGCGGCTGGCAGGGGAGGGGGACTTCCACCACGCGAGGTCACTGTGTATTCTTTTGTCCTTCTTTATGAGCATATATGACCTTCTAAAAACTTGAAAGATATGTGTGTATAAACGCACATTAGGGGAAACTGAGTCGCTGCCACCAGTAGAGACAGTGGCATCGGGGCGACATTGCAAGACTGCAAGCTTTGAAATCGGACAGATCTAGGTTCTGAGGTCTGGTGTTCTCCAATTCCTGAACTTACCTCCGCGAGCCTATTTTATTGTTCGTAGAGGTGTACGGTACCTACCCTCTGGGTAAAGACGGCACAGGAAAGGGTTTGTCAGTACGTGCTGGCTTTTTTCTCTGCGAGGATCTGCTAGAGCCTTAGAGCACGTTGTGCTAGAAACAGCTGGCAGTTTGCTCTGCCCGCGCCCCGATGGACGTTGACGCTTGACCATTGACAAGTTTGACATAATGGATAGAACATTTTTATTGTGTACTAGGAAGTAATTTATATTAAGAACTGTCATAAAATTAGCCCAGTACACTGAAATTCTGTTTTCAAAGGAGGGAGAGAAGAGAGAAAAGGAAGAAATGGGGAGACAGAGGTGCAAGCTACAGGACAGGGTTTGGAAGTGAACTGGGGACCGACCTCCGACCTGTGTGTTGCGAACGTGTGGAGGGACCCCCTGCCCCGCTCCGGCAGCAGCAGTTCCGGGGCGGGAGCCCACCAGCTGCTGTGCCCGGGCGGACATTCTTTCCTTATGGCAGCAGGCAAGTGGCTCATTCCATTTGCTGTGTCTTCATGGACGCGTGTGTATAAAAGAGCAGTGACCTCACAGGCATCTAATGTGCGTTTGGCTCTGTTTGGGGGTGTCTCCAGTGTGGCATGCGTGATCACATTCCTGGCTTTCAGTCTCGCCAGGCAGCAGGCAAGCCTGCGGTGAATTCCAAGGAGCCTGAGTTCCAAGTCCTCTGCTCATTTAAAGTTGGATTTTATCTAAGCATATAACTAAAAAAGACTGACGACTAATCTAAACCTAAGGTAGAGCTAGGACTGTTTCAAGAACTTTGCCTCGAAAATGGACAGTGGATTTCAGGTGGTTCTTTGGAGGTGTAGCATTTGGGGCTCCTCAGGAGTTTCCCGGTGATTCACTTCGGGTAGGATAGTTCAGAGAAAAACAACTTGTTTTCATGTTTCCCTTGAAATTGCTAATATAAGAACTAAATACTGTGCAACAGTTCATGAATTATATATTTAGTAGTTGGTTTTTCTGGTTTCTTACCAAACTTGGGAAGCAGAATTTAGGGAGTAATGAATGACCACCAGTTCTTCCTAAAACAAAGGACCACACCCAAGAACGTATTGAAGAAAAGTGACTTCTCCCCAGCATGCCTAACTCCATGTGATATATCTTTACAATATGGGCAAGGGGCCGGGTGAAATGTCTTACTCACGGGTGTCAGCTCCGCCCCAGCGAGCATTCCTGTTCCACAAGCCTGCACCGTTGTGCGAAGATCGGCAGTAACCATTGCTTAGAATTGGCTTCTTTTCTCATTGGGTGGGTAGGTATGTTAAGGATTGAACCAAAAGAAAGCCACAATCTACCTGCTGTTTCAAGTAATGGTCAGTGAGGGTTTCTAGAACACAAAATATTATAGATCATTTGTTGCTGTGAATTTACTGTAATAGGCTTAGGCCCATTCCATAAATAATAAATGCCACAAAGATTATTTAAGCATTAATGTGAAGTTCTCTGATCCTGTAGCATTTTTTCAGCAAAATAAGCAGCTTATTTTGGTAATCTTTCTATTATCCCGCCCCCCCCTTCTCTGCAGGTGGATCATACCATCATAATGTACTTGATTGGACCAGATGGTGGATTTCTAGATTATTTTGGCCAGAACAAGAAGAATGCAGAAATAGCGGGTTCAATTGCTGCGCACATGAGGGAACACAGGAAAAAGAGCTAGCCAGGGCAGCGTTGCCAGGGCAGTGTTCTCCTGCTAAAGAGGAAGGAAGCTTTGTCTCCCTCAGGAGAAAACGTATATGTACATTTATATATGCAACCTACAGAATGGCCTTAATACCATGAGAACATCTGCGTTTTGGATAGGGCACGCTACCCTTGGGATCCGCCAGCATCAGCGCTTGGAACTGTAATGATTACAACCAGAAGTCTCCCAAATAGCCATCGTGAGACCAGAGGACCAAGTTAACATGAAGCCAGTGGCATGGGCCTCGGGGAAGACACTCCGAGGGGGCGCAGCCTGTGTGCTCCTGCGCGTGAGCGGGCCCTTGGCCAGCGTCGCTGCCTCGCCAGTGTCATGGCCCCTTGCTCATCAAGCTGTGGGCCTGGGTTTCCAGGAGGACTGTCATTTCCCCAGCTGTGCTGCTTCCCCTTCGAGCACTGGTGGCTGATGCGTTAGGCTCCTGCTGTTCAGTTAAGCTCTGTGCTTGAACACCGAGTGTGGGCGTCCTTAAGGAATATCACCGTCGGGCTTGTGCTGGGGTTTCCTCTCAGCAGGTGCTGATTTGACCGATGAAGAGGGAATCTGCTGTTTGGGGAAACCATCAGATTAATTTCTGTAGGAATCTTTCATGTGATGTTTGGCCAAAGGATGTGTTAGGTTTTTAATGACATATCAAATGGGAACAAGGGAACCTTGATCATTAGTGTAATGCAGAGTACTTGTCTGTCTATACTGGATTGCACTGTGTGAAAAATAAATGTGTGTTCAGTTTTGCAACTTGGACAGGTGTGACTTTTGTCATGGGTGGATGGCAGCACACAGCTCTCGGGGGGACACCCATAGACGGGAGTGGCCGGAGAGGCTCCCAGTCCCAAGGCTCCCAGTCCCAAGCCTCCCTGTGTCCTAATCTCTTTTTTGAGTCTCTGAGTCGGGTAGGATGTGGAGACCTGTGTTCCTGACAGACATCCAAAGCATCTCAGATACTGGCGGCCTGGGACCACGCCTTGAGACAATTGTGTGAGGACACACGGTTCCGATCTGGCTGAGTGAAGACTTAAGCCATCATTTAGTGTGTCAGTAAGAGTGTACAGACAGCCAGGAGCTGATTGTCAAGTGAGGGAATGGATCTTTTGTTCTGAATTTCCCTTTTTCCACCTGAAGCTGCTGCTAGGGCAAACTTCTCTGAAAGTTTTTCAGCGGATCCAACCACAACACGTGTAGTGCCCAGACTGCAGATTCTCTTTGCACATCAGGTAGGTTTTACGTGCGCATGCAACAGGCCTATCTTTTGGGTTTTAAATGTCTTCCTATAATATCTAGTTAAACCTGATATAAGGACATGTCAAAATAATGTGAAAGAGAAAAATTAGGAACTCTATAGTGGTTATGAACTGAATTATGTCCCCCAAAATTCACACATTGGCATGCAAGTGCTTAATGCGTCCAGCTGTCCGAGGGGCAGCTGGTGGCTTCGGCGTAAGAGCCGAGATGCCCTGAATACCAGTAAGACACGTGTGAGTTGGGAGGCTAATGTGAACCCAGTAAAGTGATTTGAAATTGTCAAGGCATCTGTGTAAGATATTTTAAAATTTCTTGTTTTAAATGTAAGGTTAAAAGAAGTACGTGCAAGTCCTACCCCCAGCGCCTCAGGATGTGACTGTTCTTTGGAGACAAGGTCTTTAAAGGGGTGATTAAGTTACAATGAGACCGCCAGAGTGGGCCCCAGGCCGCTGTGACGGGTGTCTTTTCAAAAGAGATTAGGACACAGAAGACCACGTGAAGGCACGGGCCTCCAGAGGAAACCAGCCGTGACGGACACCTCGATCTGGGACTTCGGCGGGCCTCCAGACGAGGAAAATAAATGCCCTTTAAGCCACCAGGTCTGCGAGCCTTCATTACTGCAGCCCTGGCAAACGAGTACAGTAGCCATCCTTTGTTGGGGATGCCACCGTATTCCCTAATAAACATCCTTAGTAAGCAGCTACCAGATTTACGGTCGTTTATGTAAACTTGAATGCCTCTCCTAGGAACCATATCTAGAAGGTGAGGAACTTACCGAAGGACTAGTCTCAGGCAGTAAAGAAGACATAAGTAAGTATCTAGAAAGCCAGCCGCTTTGAAAGATGGTCTGTTTTCAGCCACCACTGGAGTGGGCTCTTCCGCAGTAAGCTGGCTTGGTAAGATTGGCCGCATTCTCAGCTGCTGCAGGCTGGCACTGTGGAATGTTCCAGGGAGCGAGCGGCCGCTTTTGAAGACACCTTTGATTTGCTCTCCATTCCAGTGTCAAGTTTAAAGGCTTAGATCAGGGTGTGAGAAGCAAGGAAGGGGCTCAGAGATGACGTCCACGTGGCTGTGTGTGTGAGAAGACGACCCCGGGGATTAAGGTGTGGCCCTTCTGAGCCTAGATTAGAATTCGGGTCCCAATTTCTAGTCAGGTCCCTGCTTGTGTGCCACTGCTGTGGGGTGCTTGGGTGACCGTAGGAATCCAAAATGGCAGTGTCGTCCTGGTGAGGCACCTTTTCAATGGGGAACCTTGGGAAAAATTGAAATCAAGGCTGCCTTTCCACAAGGTTCGTGCTCATCTTTCCCTGGCTGGGTTTGAGTTTTCTTTCACTGGACTCTTCAATAGAATTAATAAGAAATGCTGTTTGTTTATTTGAAAATTATAAGAATTCTGTCTTCAGTTGGCACGCAAGTGCCTTATGCGTCCAGCTGTCCGAGGGGCAGCTGGTATCTTCGGCGTAAGAGCCGAGATGCCCTGAATACCAGTAAGATGTGCGTGTGAGTTGGGAGGCCAATGTGAACCCAGTATAAAGTGATTTGAAATCATCAAGGCATCTGCGTAAGATATTTTAAAATCTTTTCTTGTTTAAATATAAGGTTAAAAGAAATATTTCAAATCATCCATAATCCCCCAAATAACTTTCCTTTTTTTGCGTACATCACTATTTATATTGTGTGTGAGTTCCTTTTAAAAGAGCAGTTACACAAGCCTTTTTTACTCATTTAACATATTTTTTACTCATAGTTTTGAATTACATTACTGTGTAATGACATGGCTGGGTTACTCCTATTTATTAACTAGATGCAGTTAATAACCTCTTCAGCCATGTGTTCCTTAATAAAGCCTTTAGAACTTAGGAGGTAATTACTTTCTATTCATTTAAAAATATATTTTAAAATGTGTTGGTTCTTCCATAATTATACCCTCAGAGAAAATTTATAATATACAGAAAATTTGAAGGAAGAAATTTTAAAATCACCATCGTTTCACAGTTGTTTCAGGAAACAATTTCTGGGTGCATTTCCTTTCAGTCTTCAACAGTTTAAAATGTTTTACTAAACCAGAAATTCACAAACATATTCCTTTAAAAAACATTAGAACGGATCAAGCTCATGCCTCTTGCTCACCACTCCCCACCCTCCTCACGGGAGCTACTATTTCATGGTGGGTGGGTGTCTACTTGGGGTGTTTCTGGCTCAAGGTATGAATGTTAAAAGTTTTGTTACCGTGGCTAGCATGGATCTTGCTCAGTTTTTATGCGACCTTATTTTTATTATGTTTTTGTGTATTTTTTATATTATTGAATTTGGTCAATATTGAAGGTAGTGCAAAGTGGCTACCCTTTTCCCGTGCCAAGGTTAGGTGGCAGATTAACCAGATGAGCATGTGTCCAGAGACGGTGCTGATGTCATCCCTCCTAAGGGGTCTTACAAGTCTCTCACCCTGTGTCTTATGTCAGGAGAGCATCTCTGGATGTTTAGTTGAAAGAAACGAGTTCTCATTTAATTAAAAATAATTGTAGAAATTTTAAAATATACTGAATGTAGAATAGTTTAATGAACTTGATATACCCATCACCAAACTTTAATAATTATCAACATATGGCTAATCTTGCTCCATGTCTACCTCCACTCACCCCCGGCCCCACCCAAATCCTGCATATGAATGTATCTCTAAAAGATACCAACTCTTCTTTTTAAAATCATAACTACAATTCCATGATTACACAATTTTTATTTTTATTTTTTTGCTTAATATCAAATATCCAGTCAGTGAAAAACCAAGTTTATATTTTGGCCCTTTGCTGTCAAGAAGCCATGACACTGTTCATTGTGGGGGTGTATTCTGCCCGCGGCACATGGGAGACTGCGTCCACATTTGTACCCCATTCACAGAGGACATGAGGGTTCAGCGGGAGACAGCCCTGCACATGTCCCCTCCCTCCCCACACACAGGGGTGGTGGTGTTCAGGTTGAACCAGACTAGAAAGACCAACCAATTCATCTTGTTTTTTTAAGTTTATAAATGGGGAGAGAAACAAGATGGCAGAGGGGTGAGTAGAAGTCACACTGACCTCCTCCCAGGACCAACCTGAAATTACAACTAAATTGTGGAGAAATCACCTGGAACAAACAACAATAGTGAGAGAGGAGCCTTGTAACTTGGAAACATAAGAATCAGCTTTAGTGCAACCTAACTGGTAAGGAGTGTGGTAGAGACTCAAGAAGGCGGGCCAGGTGCCCACGGGCAGCAGCACCAGAAGGATATTGAAACAACCAGTTGGATCCCCTTGAGAAGAGCGGGGTCTGAACCAAAAGTGGGGAATCTCCAGCTTACAGCACCAGAGCCCAAAAAGTACACAGAAAACAGCCAGCTGCAAAAAATGTCAGGGTTGCTCTCTGCCAGAGACAGGTGGCTGGAGATGCAGAGCTGTTTAAAGGGCAAACACATAAATTTTTATTTGCAGCCACTTACCCTGGACTCTGGCAAAGGTGGGGGCAGAGTGGGCTGGAGACACCTGAGGAGAGACTGGGAAGGAGGTTTTAGGGGGAGAACTGAGAGAGGAGCCGGCCGGATCTCTGCGCTGACTCTTGCCCCATGCAGCAGCAGCCATCTTGCTCAGGCAGAGACCACTCCCCCTGAGCGGCAGCAGCGTCAGAGGACCCAATACCCTCGCCCCCAGGTGGGATTCCACCCTGTCCTGTGCTGTCTAAGCCGCCTGCTAAGTACAGAGTGGCAACCACAGATAGTAGATCCCTTGCTAAAGGAGGCTCAGAGACGCCTGGCAACACTTGAGGAGAGACTGGGGATGGAGGCTTGGGGGGAGAACGGAGAGAGTAGCTGGCGGGATCCCAGTGCAGACTCCTCCCCCATAGGGCAACGGGGTGAGAGGACCCAATAACCCCACCCCCAGGAGAGACTCCGCCCCACCCTGAGCTAAAGCGGCCGGCTGAGTGCAGGGTGACTAGATTAACAGCTGAAGGAGACACTACAAATAGTAGATTCCTGGAAGTCTTGAACCGACTGCCTAAGGTCAGGCAGGGACAACATCTGACATCATCAGAGGCAGATGCAGAAAGTAAAAACATCAGTCTTTTACCATAGAAGTTCACACCACAAAATCAGGAAATCAAGACAGATCAACTTAAGAAGCAGAAGCAAAAAAGAAGAGTCTCACAAATAATGCAAAGACAAATACCCCCCCCCCAATCGAAGGGAAAGGAGGAATCCCCAGAAAGAGAACTAAATGAAATAGAAGCATGTAAACTATCAGATATTGAGTTCAAAACTGCGGTTCTAAGGAAGTTCAATGAGCTCAGTGAGCTCAGAGAGAATTACAAAAACTGCAGGGAAACTACAAGGAACTTACTGCAAACTATACCAGCATGAGAAAGGACATAGAAACTATCAATAAGAGACAAGAGGAAATGAAGAATACAATTTCTGAATTGAACACAGTAGAAGGAATTCAAA